CTATCTCTAGGTCACTCTACCCTATCTCTACCAAAAATAGAAAAATTTATCTGTGTGTGGTGGTAGGAACCTGTAGCCCCAGCTGCTCAAGAGGCTAAGGCAGGAGGATCACTTGAGCCTGAGTTTACGGTTACAGTGAGCTATGATGATACCACAGCATTCTAGCCTGGGTAGCAGAGTAAGATTCTGTCTAAAAAAAAGGCGATGTACTAATTCCAGGAAATTTGGAAAAGTCATCAAATTAAAAAAAGAAAAAGGAAAGGAATCATCGAATTTTAAGGAGAAGACAAATGTCACCATGGTCCCACTATCTATTTAAAAGTGTTTCCTGGCTTAGCACCTGTGGCTCAAGTGGCTAAGGCACCAGCCACATACACCTAAGGTGGTGGGTTCGAATCTAGCCCGGGCCTGCCAAACAACAATGACGGCTGCAACCAAAAAAAAAAAAAAAAAAAAATAGCCAGGCGTTGTGGCGGGCGCCTGTGGTCCCAGCTACTTGGGAGGCTGAGGCAGGAGACTCGCTTGAGCCCAGGAGTTGGAGGTTGCTGTGAGCCGTGATGCCATGCCATTCTACCCAGGGTGACAGCTTGAGTCTCTGTCTCAAAAAAAGAAAAAAAGTGTTTCCTAGGGCAGTTTGTGTGTTCTTAACTGGTTAAAAACTTAGACTCTGGATTCAAACCAAATGCCATTGTTTACCAGCTGTATGACGCTGGGCAAGTTACTTAACTCCTTTGTGCTTCAATTGTAAAATTTCTTTATTAAAAAATTTTATAATTTATTTATTATAGATTTCTGTACTGATTTCAATTTTTTAAATATGTTAAAAATATTCTGTGACTACTCAGATTTCGAGTGCCCCTTAAATTTTGCACTCACCTCCTTCTTGTTCTGACCCTGGGGGCTGTCAGCAAGAACTAGGCAGCCTTCTGTTTTCCCTTCCTGGCTGTTACTGCCCTGTCCCCAGCTTCCAGCCCACCTGCTGACTGCTGGGCCTGACCTCTGACCTCCACAGCCCCCACCTGGGGAAGGTGCTAGAGCAGGCCAGACACTTAGGTGAGCCCTGCTGTTTGCTGTAGTCTCCCAAGCAGCCCCATTACCATGTGGAGAGATGCAAATTGAGACAATCCTGCTGTTTTAGAAGAACTTAATATGTTTTTTTAAAAAGATAGGGTGAAAGGCAGAAATTACAGGAAGTTATATATTGCAGGAACTGCTTTATCTTCTCTGCAGTTGAATCCAGCCATGCTGGATTGGGAACAGCATTTCATATGCTCAGAGAGCCCCAGTCTCAGGCTGAGTCCATCAAATAGCCGAACATTTGACCCTTGGCCAGAATTTGCTGCTCTGGGCTGGGCTCAATGGCTCACAACTGTAACTCTAGTACTCTGGGAGGCTGAGGTAGGAGGATCCCTTGAGCTCAGGATCAAGGTAAGACCAACCCAAACAAGAGCAAGACTCCATTTCTACTAAAAATAGAAAAATTAGCCAGGTGTTGTGGCTAGTGCCTATAGTCCCAGCTACTCAGGAGAATGAAAAAGGAGGATCCCTTGAACCCAGGAGTTTGAGGTTGTTGTGAGCTAGGCTGACACTATGGCACTCTATGCTGGGCAACAAAGTCCCTGCCCCCCCTCCAAAAAAAGAAAAAGAATTTGCTGCTCTGTTATCCTTTGGGTGCCACCCGTCTTACTGAACTTTCCGTAGCCTCTTCTTGGGTTTGTGCATATATGAAGAGGTTGATCTTTTTACTAACTCACGTTTGAGGAATAGCTGTGGAAACCTCATTCTCATGACAGTTGGCATAACTCAGAGCCACCTTCCAAAGAACAGGCCCCAGAGAGGCAGTCCTTGTCTCAAGGACTTCCCTATGGCACAGGTACCCGTTAGGGAGGAAGCTTGCCTTGGTTACAACCTAGAAATTCATCTGAAGTTCTATCTTGCACCCCATGGATTCTGCAGTGGCTCAATGATACAGATGATTACAGCGGGCTTTTGGCAAATATTCCTGGGTCTAGATTATGTCAGGGAGAGTGCATCAGGCTGAGCCACAAAATAAGTCCACAGCCCTTAGCCACAACCTCACTTATCTGCCATCAGTGGGGAATGAGATGTTACACACTGGTGGATTTTTCCAGTTAGCTGAATTTCAGAACGAGTTCTTTTTTTTTTTTTTTTTAATTTTAACTAGTTTGCACAGTGGCCTTTCTGAAATGGATTTCACACTTCTCTGACTTCTCAAACAGAGCATAATAAACTTATCTTGATGATTCGAGGTCATTTTGTATCTCAGTTATTAATCTTTGGAGCCAGACTGTCTTGTTTGAGTCCCAGCTCTTCTTACCAGCTGGGGGGCTTTGAGCAAGGGTGTTAACCTCTCTGTGCCTTAGTTCCTCATCCTCAAAGTAGGAATAATAGCAGTACCTACCTCATAGCATTGTTGAAAGGATTACATTAATTAATAGATATAAAAATCGTGCCTAGCACATATTAGGTAGAACCATATTATATTGCCATTTTCATAGGCAAACAACAGTTGATTATTGGGAGTCTTATATGACTCAGGAGTAGGAGGCACTCGGTGAGTGTTAGCTCCTGCTCTGGGTTGGGCACTGTGGGCTGGAACTTAACATATGGTATCTCCTTTGGTCTTCCCAACAAGCTCACAAGGGGGCATTATTATGCCATTTTACCAAGGCTCAGAGAGGTTAAGTTGCTTACCCTAAGCTGCTCATCTGGTAGGTACAGAGATGCCAGCCAGGTCCTTCTTGGCACGTTTGTTCTGTTCTTTCTGTCAGGCGCTGTGCTGAGACAGTAGCCCTCTCGGCAGAGCACTGAATAGCCTTGGGAGTTATGATGGTCTATAAAAGTCTTGCATTTATGTTTTTCTAATATTTGACTCCCTTCCTGATCTTACAGGGTTCCAAAGGATTTTCTAGGAGGCAAAAGTAAGAGCTTTTGTGGAATCTAATATTAGGTAAAACCATGTTATTAATATGGTTGATTATTGGTTTTTCAAGTGTATGTATCAAATATTTTAGAGTTCACCAGTGTAGGTTGAGGATGTCATGTGTGGCTCACCTGTGTACATTCAGGTGAAAGTGTCAGACCTTTGATCTCCGTATATGTGAAAGGTCACTGTAATTACCTCCCAGCCTTGTCCTGAGCAGGCTAGGATGACCCTGCATTTTTAGGGGTGCCAGTGTTCCCCACAAGGATTGGCTGTTTCAGTATCCTCAGCTGCTGCTCTACCCCAGGATTCTCCCTGGGGCTTCGACACTGAATCCTAAACTATCTGGCTTCAAAAGAACTGTAGTGGTCATCTCATTCAGCACACCACTTCACAGATGAGGAAACTGAGGCTCAGAGAGCCCAGGTGACATGTGAGTTGATGGAGGTAGGAGTAGGGCAGGGACAGTGGCCATACTGTGTGTGGGGGAGAAGTGTTCAAATAATAACAATAGCTCACACATGCACAGTGCTCAGTCTGCTGTATACTGTTCTCAGCACTGGACTCCTTTTTTCTCCCCTGAGGCAGTCTTGCTCTGTCATCCAGGCTAGAGTGCAGTGGTGTCATCATAGCTCACAGCAACCTCAAACCTGCCTCAACTTCCCAAGTAGCTGGGACCACAGGCAAGCACCATGATGCCCAACTAGTTTTTCTGTTTTTAGTAGAGATGGGGGCTCATTCTTACTCAGGCTGATCTCAGACTCCTAACTTCAAGCAATCCTCCTGCCTTGGCCTTCAGAGTCCTAGGATTACAGGTGTGAGCTACTGCCTCGGGCTGTACTTCTTTATATACATATATATATGTATGTATATGTGTGTGTGTGTGTATAATTTTATCCTCACAAGTCTGTGAGGTAGGCATTACACTTGTTTTACAAATGAGGAAGCTGAGCACAGAGAGGGCAAGTGACTTGCCCTAGGTCACACAGCTAATGAGGGATGGGGCTGAAGCAGGCAGCCTAGCTCTAGCAACCATGTTCCTAACCATTATACCACCATGACCCACCATTCAACCTTTTGACTTTATCCTTCAGCCTCATGAGAGGTTATATATTCATCTCTGCCACCACCATTTGGGTCCTCACTGGGCTGTGGGTCATTAATCTCTAGATACAGCCCCTGCAAGAGGAAGGGGGTAGTGTGAGGGACCTGAGTGACCCCTCCATAGGCCCTGCCCTTCAAGAGCTTGGCAGGCCCTGTGATCTGTAGGGCAGAGTGCTGATCCCCAGCCAGTTTGAAGCAGACTTTTCAGGGTGCAGAGTTTCTGGTTTGCAGAGGCCACACTGACGTAGAGGGAGAGGAGGGCCTGGGCATCGCTACCCAGTGCCCTGTTGGCCCCAGCAAGCTGAGGGGCAGGGGCCACGTGAGGGGAGAGGTCCAACAGTCTTCACAGGGCCTGGGTGCCTTCTTTGAACTCTTGGGGGCATGTGTGGGGACAGCTGAGGAGTCAGACACTGGGTACTACTTAGCAAACTTGAAGAGCTTCCTCACTGCTCTGAGCCTTTGGCCACTTAGCTGTAAAATGGGCCATGGTCCCTGCCATCTCTACGTCAGAAAACTGTCATGAAATCAGGTGTGCTAATGCTCATGAGAAAGTTACATGCTTGTAAGTTGCTACATGCCTTCTCTCTGCTGAGCTCTTCCTATCCTCCACCTCGGTCCTCATGACAACCTGAGGAGATGCGTACTATATGCAGCTCCCTAGTACAAAGGGGAAACTGAGGCTCTCAGAGGTTACCTACCTTGTTACACAATTAGAAAGTGGCAGAGCTAGGTTTCAAACTGGGACAGCTCAAGAATCTACCTGCTGTTTGAGGATAAATGGGACCTTCCAAAGTGTTAGACCAAGGCCTGGCACTTGGTCAGTGCTGGGCAAATGTGAGACTCTGCCCTTCTGACCAAGGTTGGTGCCTGGACCACCTCCATGTTTGCCAGGGACCTGGGGCTGTGCTCCCAACCTTCTGCCTCACACCCCATTCTCCCTCCCTTCCACCAGGACGTCGCCACCATGCAGTTCTGTGCCAACAAGCTGGACAAGAAAGATTTCTTTGGGAAATCCGACCCCTTCTTGGTGTTCTACAGAAGCAACGAGGATGGAACGTGAGTTTTCTGGCAACGTATGCATACTGTGACTTATCCCCATTCAGGGTCAGAGAAGGATGGTTGTGGAGACTTGCCAGGCAGAGTGGCTTATGCCCATCTCCTGCTCTAGAGAGGGCAAGGGCTAGGGGTGGGACTTCAGGGCAGTATGCTGGCCACCTAGATGGGGCTGGTTGGAGTAGAGGCAGCCTCTAAGCTGGCACTGAGGGTCTCAGCAATAGTATTGAGTGGTAGGTGCTGGGTATGTCAAGGGTAGGGGGGAGTGGGCAAAACCAAGGCTGGGGCAGGACTGAGGGGCCCCTCTCCATGGGACTCCTTCATTCATAGCCCCTTCATTTTTCACAAATGAGCCTCTATCTCCCATCCCAGTCTCCTCTACCCATAGCCCTCTCAACACCCATGTCACTACCCCCATTACCGCATACTCTGCCTGGCCCCATGCTCAACCATAGGCTCCATTCACAACTCCAGACTTCGAAGCCCCTATATGTTCCTCTCTTCTCCCTAATCCAGAAGCCACCCACAACATGATGGAAACATCCACAACACATGGGCAAATGTAGGTCAGCAGTATATACAGAGATTCTGGGTTGAAGGTCTGGGGAGCTAGCTCCTCCCCAGCAACCTGCTGTGTGACCCTGAGCTAGTCAAATTCCTCTCTGGGCCTGCTTTCTCATCCGTAAAATGAGCCAGTTGGATTAGGTGGTCTCCATGGCCTCTTTAAGCACCACAGTTCTGGGAGGCTGTGCCCACTTACAGGCTGAGATTCTGCAAACGCGCGGAAGTGATGGGGCCAGGGAGGTTAATTAGAGAAATGCTGCTGGAGAAGGGGAGCTTGGAAGCAGTTTTGATGGAGAAAAAGAAAATGGGTCCGTGGGGAGGGGATGGGGGAGCAGGGAAGAATGACAGGCTGGAGAAATGAGTGTGCAAAGCGAGTGTGTCCAGAGGGCAGAAAGGGCTTCGCCAGATTTTCCTTGATTCTGAAATTCGTGTGTGTGTGTGTGTGTGTGTGTGTGTGTGTGTGTGTGTGTTGAGGGGGCAGGGAAGCGGCAGGGAGGGGGTGTGTTTCAATTCAAAGGAAAACTGATTTTTAAACCTGAAGGTACAAAACAAGGGAAATTAGGTAGGATCATTTGCATGACAAAAGGATTCTTTGTCTCACCAAAGGACTCCCAGCAGGATTTCTTTAAATAATTCTTGTTGACTTTGACTTGACTTGATGTGGGGGAGGAAAAAAGGCCTGAGGGCTGTTCTGAGCGTCCACACAGGCCCCCTCCAGAGAGGCAGAGCCAGGGTTGCCCAGCCTTGTCCCGATGGCCAAGAGGAGAAGAGGGATTTTGGAGCCGGAGAGGGGTGTGTTACAAAGGGTGCTTGCCAAAGATTATTCTGGCAGAGTGATGTGTAGGATGGATGGGAAGAGGGTGGGGAGAGGGAGAGCCTTGTGACTGACACAGTGAACAGGTGGGAGGTGCCTTGAGCACCTAGAGCTGTGCAGTGGAAATGCAGGAGGAGGATCTGGGGAGGGGGAACAGGACCCCACCAGGCAGGACTTGGAATGGGGATGGAAGACCTAGTTCTCTCCCTGGCAGTGGAGCCAAAGGAACCCAGAGCAGTGGGTGGGGCAAAAGAGCTGATCAGACAGAAGGCAATGGGAGCCTGTTGGGGGCGAGTTTCACTTGAAGTGTGGGCTGGTGCTGTCCGGGCGGTGCACTGGTCCCCCAGGAGGATCCCATGGAGCACTGGAGAAACTGATCCAGACCTCCCTGCCAAGAGGTAGGCCAGTATACAGGCACCTGCCCAGGGGTACAGGGTTGTCACTGAGGGCTAGAGGAGAGAACAGTGGACAGTTTGGGGGGAGGCAGGAGGAAGGTCAGTGAGAGACCAGGAGAGTGAACTGTCACGACAGCTACACAAGGAGGCACAAGGAAAGGTGGCATTCAAGTAACACCTATTAACTGCGAAGACATGGTGAAGAAGATTGGCTGTCAAGGGGGAGGAGAGAGAGGGAGAAGTCAGCAGATCAAGAGGTGGGGGGCCCAGCTGTGGTACAATACAATCCTTCCTCCCTTTACCACCCAGTCCTGCTCCTTGTCATCCCTCCAGCCATCCACCCCCAGCTTCCTTTTCCTGCCCCAGCCATGGGCAGCTGTGGCCCTCCTGCTCCATCCACGTTTCTGTCCTTGCCACAAGCCTGGGGGGTGGGGGGAGGTCTCCCACGTGCATCTTCGCACTCCAGTGGGTGGGCGGGAAGGAGCAGAGAAGAGAAACGCTGAGCCATGGTGACAGGAATGACATTTTGACTTGAAAATTGCCAGAGAAGAAATGGCACCGGCTGTGTGGGCATGGGCGGAGCCCAGGCACTTACTCGGGTGACCTTTCCAAGCCAGGCTGTAACTGGGGCGGATGCTGGGAAGTCTCAGACAGAAACCCCAACCCCCGGCTCAGACCTGCTCCCGGCTGCCCATCCATGTGGCAGGGCTGGCTTCCAGAATGCAGCCAGCAAGGCAGGGCATGGGTAGTGGGCAAGAACAATGGATGGGGACCCAGCTGGGACAAGCCAATTCTGTGGATTCAGACTGGAAAAGCTGAAAGGGTCTTTGAGATCATCTAAGTCAGGGGTTTCAGTTTCATTGGATTGAAACGCCAGTGGAAGCTATGGGAACTCTCCGCTGAGGACTACATTTATTCATTGGTTCATTTAAACAAAATTATTGAATATCTTTGTTCCAGGCACCAATCTAGGCACTAAGGATATGCCAGTGATTGAAAAAGGCAAAAATCCTTGCCATATGGAACTTACATTTTAGTGACTGATTATAAACAGAATAGATAAGGGAAAAAATAGGCTATGTCAGAATGTCAAATGATGCCAAATGAAAAGGTAAAGAAGAAGTATGGAAGGAGACTAGGAGCTGTGAGAGTCAGGGGTGCAGCGGGCTGTAAATTTGAGATATGCTAGTCAGGAGAGGTTTCATGGAGATGACATTTGATTGGATGGTAGTGAGGGGTAAATAGTGAAGTCCTAGAAATGAGGGAGGAATATTCTAGGCTTAGGGAATGGAGACACCTACAACTCATCCGCCAGTTTGACCTACAATTTCAGTAGTTCACAGACCCCTAAAGCACATCCACACACCCTTCCATGGATCTCAAATGAAGAATCTTTGGTAGAAGCTGACCCTCTGGGTTTACAGGTGAGGAAGTAGAGGCTTGCTCAAGGCCACACAGTGAGTTGGTGCTAGAGCAGGGGCTAGCATCTAGGTCTCCTTGACACTTCAGGACTTGTCCCTGCTGTGTAGGTGTCTGCCTAATGCAAGAGTCCTTTCTATAGCATCGCTCACAAATGGCTGTGTAGTTCCAGCCTGGCTGCTGCTAGTGATAGGCAGCTTGTCACCATTTTTTTTTTTTTTTTTGAGACAGAGCCTCAAGCTATTGCCTCACAGCTCACAGCAACCTCCAGCTCTTGGGCTTAGGCAATTCTCTTGCCTCAGCTTCCAGGGTAGCTGGGACTACAGGCACCTGCCACAATGCCCAGCTAGCTTTTTGGTTGTAGTTGTCATTGTTTGGCAGGCTGGGGCTGGATTCAAACCTGCCAGCTCTGGTGTATGTGGCTGATGCGTTAGCCGCTTGAGCTATAGGCTCCATCAGCTTGTCACCTTTTGAAGCCACAGTTTTCATTGCCTGGCAGCCAGAGATGTTAACCAGCTGGCTCCTCTGTTGACCTGAATTCTACCTTCCTTGGGTTCAGGACTCATAGCCTTTCTTTCTCTTCTCAGGTTCACCATTTGCCACAAGACCGAGGTCGTGAAGAACACCCTAAACCCGGTCTGGCAGACGTTCTCCATCCCTGTGAGAGCCCTCTGCAATGGAGATTATGATAGGTGAGATGAGAAAGCTATCTTTTTTTTCTTTCTGCATCTGTGCCCTTCCCAAGCAGGGGTGAGGGAGGCCCTGTTCATATCAACACCATCAGTATGAATGGGGCCTCCTGGAGCTAGGTAGCAGGTGCCCTGCGCAGAGTGGGTCTTGGTGAGCCTCCCCCTCCTCCCCTACTGCAGGGGGCAGTGTCTGCCTCTTCCCAGCCTCACGCCCTTCCCCTCCCCACCCTGTCCACCTCACTCCTCCCTGGCATCCCCATTGGTGGGAAACTCCCAAGGCTGAGGGGCGAGTAAGCCTGGGATTCTGGGAGACCTAGATGGGTGTGCTGGGACCTGGAGCTTAGCAGCTTGTCTTTTAATTATTCCCGATGAAGGGGCAGCTGGCAGCTGGTAGGGACAGGGGGTGGGGTGAGGGGGGTGGGTTCAGGCAGCAGAAGCAGCCAGTCCCCACCAGCCCCAACTCCTAGTCAGTGGCCTCTGGGGTGTCAGCACAGTAGGATACTCCCTGCCAGCCTAGTTGCCATAAGTGAGAGTGGAGGGCTGGGTGCAAAGAGCCTGTGGTGTTTTTTGTTTCGACATAGCCTACTCTGTTAGCTGTCATCATCAGATCATTAGAGTATAAACTGTTGAGTGTGACACCAGACACCTGGTTTCTCATTCTGACTTTGTGACTAAAAAGCACTATCATCCTGGGCAAGCTTTCACTTGGCTGACTCTTGGTTTCCTTATCTGTAAAATGGGAATTAAAACACCTGCCTGCCTCATAGGGCTGTTTTGATGCTCACGCAACGCAGCCTCCACGAGGAGGCTGTAGTACACATAAATCCCAGAGGCTGCCCTTGTTTACAAATGTTCACTGAGCCCTGCTGTGTGCCGGGAACTCAGCTCTATGCTGACCTATGCTGACGAGTCAGCAGGGAATAAACACCACGCGGTCTTCACCCTTCACCCAACCTTGTAGAGTTTACGTGCCAGTAGGGAAGGCAGATATTAATCCAATAATCACACAAAGAAACACATAATTACACATTGTGCGAGTGCTGAGAGAGAGTGGGGGTGCATCTGTGTTAAGTCACGAGAACCCCTCCCTGTTTCCTGGCAATTGCAGCAGCTCTGGTGAGTGAGCTGGCGGGGGGCTCACAGGAGCCTTCCTGAGGAAGCTGGGCCTGTGCTGGCTGCTCCAACAGGAACACTAGGGTCCCAGAACAGACACCCCACTCTGTCCCAGGAGCCTGCTCACATTGACAGGGAGATGAGTGTGTGGATAACCTCCAGTCACTCCTGTTCCCTCCAAGGAAACCCTCAGACTGCCAGTCTAAGACACAAGGTGGCCCTTTCTCTGCCTCTTGCCTGGGACAGAGAAGCTATAATCTGTTCCACAGGTGGTCATCATTGGTCACTACCCTGTGCTCAGCACTGTGCCTCTAACTGTGCAGCATTCAGGGCAATATGGTGCAATTTCATCTTCGGGGAGCTTGCAGTCTGACCCTAGAGAGCTCAGATGTGCACATGTATCCCAGACAGCTAAATGTTTGTGCAGAACAAGTCTGGGGACAAAAGTCCATTTTCCAGCCAAACCAGCCCCCTTTACACATTCAGCTGGTCTTGGGGCTTCTGAAGTGGGTGAAGGGAAGGAAGGACAGGCTGGTTGAGCAATAGGATCTAAAGGAGGTTGGGGGATGCTGAAAGGTCAGGTGCGTGGGAGGAATGGTTGGGATGGAGAGATTTGGAGAGGGCGTAAGAGGAAACAAAAGGTGGGGGGATGGGAGAGCATGGCAGTTAAAGTCTCACAAGTGGAAGGAATTAGGTATTCCTGGAACCACTGACCTGAGGTTCCAGGGGCCCAGTTGATCCCTCAAGATGCTGCATCTCTGGAGGGACTTCTTGGGCCTCAGAACCTAGCTTTGTCAGGGATGGTGGAAGGGGACATCAGGGCTCAGAGGCCTGTGGCCTACCAGAGGAGGTGGGTAGTCGGTGGGAGGGGTGCCGGTAGACGGGGAGTGTCTGAGAGGCTCCTCTCTGAGGCTGAGCCCAGCATCTTCTCCCTCTAGAATGCTGGCAGCCCAGGCCTCCTCCAGGGCTAGGAGCAGATCAACTGTGACATGACTGACAGCAGTATTAATTGAGGGGCCAGGCGTGTCATGCTGGCTTGGTGAGAGAGCAGGCCTGTCTCCTCCACCCCCAGCTCTAGTATAACCCCCACACCCAATAGCCACTCAGGAGCCTCCAGTATCAGGAGGCCTCCAGGGCAGGAGGGGGTGGGCCCTGTGCAGGAAAATGAGGCCACTGTCCCCCTTCTTTCCAGGCACCTCTGGGAGCCTCACAGAATATAGTCAATGTGATCCAGCAGCCCTGTCTTCCGCGCTGGCCAGGCACTGGGCACTGTGGGGACACTGTGGGAGCATATTGAGCTAGTAGGCCTTCCCTCCTTGGTTGTGCCCAGGCCAGTGTAGAGACAGACAGGTCATAATAGCAAAGGCTCCTATGGCACTTAGCCATGGGCCAGGCCGTGCTCTAAGTGCTTTATGTACCAGATCTAATTTAATCCTCCCAATCATCAGCTCCTTGGAAGGAGGTACTAATGCCATCTGAGGAAACTGAGGCCCAGAGAGAGTAAATAACTTGCCTAGTATCTTACTGCCAGCTGATGGTAGAACCAGGTCAGCCCTAGATTTTGTGTTCCTCACCCCTTTTCCCTGTTGCCAACCAGCCAAGACATGGCATGGCAGGGCTGTGGCTGGGTGCACTTGGGGAGCGCCTTGCCCAGGCATTGGGGCAGGTCTGCTTTGGAGTTAGAGGCGAGAAAGCCTCTTGGAGTTGGTTTTAGTCCTGAAAGCCTTAAAGGTCCTGGCTTTAACCCCAAATTATTCAGAGAAGAGAAGAGAGGGGAGCAGTAAGAAGGAAGACTCAAAGGCTTGGTATCTGCGTAGATGTGGGAGTGAAAGAGACAGAGAGATGATGGTTTAGAACTTGGGGGCATGACAAGGTGGTACCGTCAACAGAGATGGAAATGTGACCAGGAGCCAGAATCTTACAGATTCTTATATTCTGTAATTTTCTTTCATAGTCTATATGTTTTGGGGTACTGTGTTTGTTTGTTGTTTGGGGTGCTGTTGTTGGGAGGGGGAAGAAGAGATGAACATGGCTTTGGCCACATTGAGAGTGGGCTGTTGTGGGCCAGGCACAGCTAAAGCAAAAGAACATAGGTCTGGGAATCCCCGGGAGGGGGCCAGGCAGAGGGGTAGGTCAGAGATAAGAAAGAAGATGAGAAAGTAAAGAGACAGGAGAGGACCAAGGGGAGAAGTCCAACAGAAGTATCGGCTCCTGTTGTGAGAAGAGGTCCAGGGGATGAGAACCAGAGATCTGAGGAAGGGCAGTTTTGTAGGAATGATGGGTATAGAAACAAGTCAACCTTATTAAAATTACTGCGCATTCAGGTCATGGGCCAAGCTGTGTTCTAATTAGTTTAAATGCATCATCTAACTTTCTGAACTTCAATTTCGCAATAACCTTAAGGGGTGGCTACTAGTGCTGTGCCCATTTTATAGGTGGGGACATGGAGAAGCAGAGATTATATAACTTGCCAGAGCAAGGAGAAAGTACATTTCCTTCCCACAGAAGTTGTCACTGGGCTCTCCTTCTGGTCTGGGTCCCTCTGCCTTTGCTGTGTCCCCTGTCCATATAAAGCCAAACCTAGGTGACCCAGATGAACAGAGCTAGAGTTGGAGGAAGTGTCCTCAGGGTCAGAGCCTGTCCAATCCTCCAGGGGGGTAAAGTAGGGGTGATGACAAGAAACACTTCCACTGCCTTCCCAGAATTCACTCAACTTCTTGGACATTCTGTCCCTTTGAAACCAGGTTTGTCTGGCTTGGGATGTTGCCACTCACTCACACTTAATGTTGAATGAGTAGTTGTTTTTTTTTTTTTTTGAGACAGAGCATCAAGCTGTCACCCTGGGTAGAGTGCCGTGGCATTACAGCTCACAGCAACCTCCAACTCCTGGGCTTAAGCGATTCTCTTGCCTCAGCCTCCCAAGTAGCTGGGACTACAGGCGCCTGCCACAATGCCTGGCTATTTTTTTGGTCATTGTTGTTTGGCAGGCCTGGGCTAGGAGGGCTGGATTCGAACCCGCCAACTCAGGTGTATATGGCTAGCACCTTAGCCACTTGAGCCACAGGCGCCAAATGAGTACTCTACTCATTCGGGCTCTACTCCGAATGAGTAGATTTTAAGAGGGTGTTCAGTGTACAGAGTCCTCACCTGGAGAGAGGAGAGGATTCACCACAGCTTCACACTCTGGCACTCTGAATAACTGGCTTGCCTCTCCCTTGCATCCCACCGACACTGAGCACCCAGGAGGTCCAGGTGTTAGTGCCAGGTTTGCACATGCAGAAGCTGAGACTCTCAGGAGGAGAGTCGCTGCAGCCCAAGGTGTACAGCGCAGGCAGGGGTGCTAGGATTTTGCCCCCTGCATCCACTGTGCCAGGCTCACTGCCTGCCCCTGGAGAGGCCCTGACACTACTCTTCCTTCTTGAAGCCTCTCTGAGTGTTGAACTGACTCAGGCAGTTTAGGGCAAACCTCTTGGGGCCTGTTGCCTTTGGGACTTGTAGGCAGTTGAGAAATTTCCCTTTCCTTGCCTGGGGGCGGCTCATTAGGAGGAAGACCTTGCGGCTCTGGCTCAGAGGAGGCTAGAGAGGGAGCTGGGTGCAGTGCAGGAGGGCAGCCCGGGTCTTTGCCTGCTGAGGCTCACACAGACCTGGCTGTGTTGTTCTGGCCCTAAGTGTCCAGAGGCCCAGGACCCTGGCTCCTGGTGTCACCACTGATCAGCTGTGTGACTCAGGGAAAGCCACATGGTCTGGACCTCCTTTTATGATTTTTGTGGAACAGGGTCTTGTTATCTGCATAGCCCATTTCACAAGGTTTTTAGCAAATCTCAGCCAACCAACATATATTTATGCAGCACCTAATATATGCCAGGCATTGTTCTAGATGCTGAAGATAGAGCACCAAACAAACTGAAATGCCTGGCCTCACAGGGCTGCCATTTTCATGGTACATGGGAAGTGTCTGGGAGAGGGGAGTTTGGGAAAAGGAGTTGTTTTAGACAGGAATGAACAACATGTGCCAATACTGACCATGTGACTGATGAATGATAGAGAGGAGTAGAGTCTCTGAGTGTTAAGCCAGCTGTTCAGAGCACGCACTTAGTACCTGGAAGAGCGGGGCCTGCCACCCAGGGCTGCTCACCCCAGAGCCTGGGGTTTTCCCTGTCCACCTTGCTGTCTCCTACCTTACGGCCCCATGTTCTGAGCCTTTTCATGCCAAATAACATGTTTATTTTGTGTGCTGGAGAGGCTTATTTTGTTGTTCCATAACCATGAGCCCATTCTCTTAGGAGCTGTCCCCAGAGTCGTAGTCAGCCTGACATAAGCTTTTGTTGGGTCTGTACTAAGGGCTTGGGACCCAAGGCCTACAGCCCCCAAGTGCTGAGCTGGGGCAGCCCTGTCAGGGCTGATAACAGCAGAGCTGTAAATGGAGCAGTCAGCTGTGTTTGGCTTCTCCCCATTCCCTTCTCCATTCTCTGGGTACCATTTCTGCCCTAGGGCTGTAGGTTGTAGCTTCTAAGCTAATCTGACCCCCAGGTTGTAACTATCCCTGGAGTCTCAAAGCCAGGTGAGTTTGCAGAAGCCAGGTGGTCTCAACCTTGGCTTCAAGTTCAAATCCTCTGGGGAGCTTTTATCAATCCCAGGCTATACCCTGGACCAGTTGATTCTGAATCTCTGGGGTAAGGCATCAACATCAATATCTCAGGCTGGGCGTGGTAGCTCATGCCTGTAATCTCAGCATTTGGGAGGCCGAGGCAGATGGATTGCTTGAACTCACAGGTTCGAAACCAGCCTAAGCCAGAGCAAGCCCCCCGTCGCTAAAAACTAGCCAGATGTTGTGGTGGGTGCCTGTAGTCCCAGCTACTCGGGAGGATGAGGCAAGAGGATCGCTTAAGCCCAAGAGTTTGTGGTTGTTGTGAGCTAAGATGCCATGGCACTCTACCAAGGGCGACATAGTGAGACTCAAAAAAAAAAAAAAAAAAATCAGTATCTCTAAAGTTTGGAGGGAGGGGGTGTCCACATTTGAAAACTGATACTCCAGTCTAGAGAAGATCAGTGCTCTGGCTGTACATTAGAATCAGTCAGGGAACTTTTCAAAACTACCGTCCCAGGCTTGGTGCCTGTAGCTTAGTGGTTAGGATGCTGGCCACATACACTGGGGTTGGCAGGTTTGAACCGAGCCCAGGCCTGCTAAACAACAATGGCAACTGCAACAAAAAAATAGCCGGGTGTTGTGGCGGACACCTGTAGTCCCAGCTACTTGAGAGGCTAAGGCAAGAGAATCACTTAAGCCCAAGAGTTTAAGGTTGCTGTGAACTGTGACACCACAGCACTCTACCAAGGGCAACATAGTGAGACTCTGTCTCAAACAAACAAACAAATAGAAAACTACCCATGCTGGAGTCCTGACTGGATCAGTTAACTCAGGCCCTCTGGCTGTGGGTTTTAAAAAATCTCCCTAGTGCTTTTGTGGATATCTATGGCTGTTGTCATGACCTGGGTACTCCTACAGCCTCTGAGCATGTGGTTGTCATTGATTTAGTCACCAGAGGGGCTGGTGTTGGTGGTCATAGGAGAACTATCTCTTATTGTGGTCTTTGAAGGATCACTGCTGGGCTGGAGGGCTCTGGGGGAGATCTGAGAGGCAGGTAAGTAGGACAGAGATTTCACCTTTGTGGGATGGTGGGCCGAGACCTGGACTTGCAGTCAGGGATTTAGTCCTGTCTCATCAGATATGTCACTGTGGGCAAGTCACTGGAGGCCTTTAGGGCTCAGTTTCCCCAAATAAAAGTAAGGGGGTGGAGATCATCACTCTTGAACACATAGCACGGTCACTAGGGAATCTTTGAAAACAGATTCCTGCCCCAAAGGCCCTGCCCTAGAGCAAAGAGAACTGGTCCTGGGAGTGTCTGAAAGGCCTCCTGGGGATTCTGCCATCCAGCCTGGCTTAGCAGCCATGGAGCTCACCTCCAGGAATTGGGACTTGCTGAGCACAGATACTCAAGTGTTCCCTGATATAAGAAAATTTCTTAAGAAAAACTATCTGAGCAGAACCAACTGATAAGGAGAAGGTGTTTTTTGTAGATACCTTCCCATGCAGCAGGCAGGTTTTTTTGTTTGTTTGTTTTTGTTTTTAGAGACAGAGTCTCACTTTATTGCCCGGGGTAGAGTGCCATGGTGTCGTCATAGCTCACAGCAACCTCCAGCTCTTGGGCTTAGGAGATTCTCTTGCCTCAGCCTCCCAAGTAGCTGGAACTACAGGTGCCTGCCACAATGCCTGGCTATTTTTTGTTGCAGTTTGCCTGGGGCCGGGTTTGAACCCGCCACCCTTGGTATATGGGGCTGGCGCCCTACTCACTGAGCCACAGGTACCGCCCGTGACAGGCAGGTTTTACAGACTGGTCTTCATAGCTGTTCTGCAAGGTCATTATTATCCCTAAATGGTGGTTTGTAGTTTGGGGAGCTTCAGTGACATCCCCAGGTCCCACAGCTGGAGCCAAGTGCCTGCCGCCCAGCTCCGCATCCCAGCCTCTTCCCACTCCTTCCAGTTTACCAGGCCACCTTCAGGGGTTTAGGTTTTTTCTTTTCACAATAATTCACCTTAAAGAGACATAGTTTTTTGTTTTTCACAAGAATTTAAAAGGTTTCCTTTAAATGGTGGGCCGCTATGCCTGCCCCATTTTACAAGAGTCGTAGTTTGCAAAAATCCAGTCTGGAGACAGACTACCAAGCATCCTTCATTCCACAACAGTTTCTCCCCTGCTGCCCCTCCTGTCCTGAGGAGGCTGATCTAAAGGGAGACAGCGCCTCCTTCTGGGGGACACAGACCCTAAAGACCCACTCCTTGCAGACCTGAGATGGGCCATGGGCAAGAAGATTGGATGTTAATAGAAGACAGGTCCAAGCAGCTGCCTCTCTGCACCCCATTTAGAACTGAGAGCTGAGACCTCGGCTCCACAGGCCTCTCTCGCCTCCACTGCCCCTGACATGTCTGTGGGACCCTGACAGCTCCCCTGTCCCTGGGCATCCCCTGAGGACCAAGCAGCTGGCACCAAGGGTTAACTGCAACCCTCCACCTTCCTCCTCCTAGTTCTGGTCCGCTAGCCTGTTACCATGGGAACGTGGCTAAAAATAAAATGGGCTCTCAAAGCCCAGCCCCATGCATAGGAGTCAAAACAAACTAATTAAAGCAGCCAGGCTAAAATGTGAAGATAATTACACCCTCACTCAGGAGCCAGTCGTGGGGATGAAAAACCTCAGCAGGCAGTCCCCGAGCCAGGACCCCTGGGCCCATCCTTGACATGCAGGGCTGGCTCCCTCACTCCAGCCCCTGGGACCCAGGGTCCCAACACACAGTCTTGTTAACCCCCTCCCCAGAAGAAGGGGGCCTGAGATCTGAGGAGCATCACACTCCCACTCGCATGGCTCCATCCCTGGAAAGTCCACAGTGTGGGTTCATGCTGGGGCTTATGCCCTATCTGAGGTGGCCAAGAGGGTGGGGTGACATGAAGTCTGAAGCTGTTTTTTTCCACATCCTCCTTGAAATTCCAGGAAGTCCCTATGTAGCTCTGGATGGCTGCCTCTGTTCCTAAGGCCTTTGCTAAAGATAGTTCCACTGTTTCTCTGGCTGCTACCTCCCCACCCAGGACCCTGGAGCCTGGAAGGTGTCCTTGCATCCTCTTCTTGTCCAGGAGCAAAAGGAGGGCTCCATCCTTAGGCTGGGTGGGAGTGGGGTCAGGCCCATCCCACTCAGGGCCCTTTGTCTTACAGGACCATCAAAGTGGAGGTGTATGACTGGGATCGAGATGGCAGGTAAGTGTCCAGGAGGGCAAGAGGTGAGGTGAGTGGGGATGGGACAGCTGCTGGGAAGGGGGCTGAACTCTGCCCTCACATGGAAAAAGCTGTGTCTGGGCCGCCACCCATGGCAGCTGTGGGGGTGAGGGAGCCTGGTTTCCTGCTGCAGTGGCTCATCCCCATGCAGCTCCACTGAGGCACCAGAGGACCTCTGTCCTGCAGAATATGATGTGAGAGGGATAAGAGGCCTCTTTTCCTCCCAAATAGCTGCCCAGTGGCCAGCCAGGGCCTGCAACCTCACCGTTTGGGTAGAATTTAGGATTTTCCGAGGTATGCAAGTTCTAGGACTCACATGCTAGTCACCTCCTAAGCACACGTGGACATGTTCTGTGTGAGGCCTTGGGCTACGCATTGTGGGGCAACTGAGGTACAGAAGATGAAACTCCCCAAAATCTAGTGGGGAGACTGGTAGTGCACATATAGCTCTCAGCTCATCGAAGGAGCTGTTTGCAGAGTCTGGACTGGAGGAATGGGCTGTGGGGAGGGTGAGCTTTCAGGTGTATGAACAGACGCAGGCACCATGGACAGTGCCTGAGTGAGGCTGTGTAGGGCTAGTGCCGGTGGCTCCATCTAGGGTCTTTAGGGGGCCAGAGTTGTCCCCTTTTGTAGATCTCAGTGCCCCCTAGGAGCCAGTGCTGCTGAGAATTCACAGATAAGGACAAGAGCAGGTTGCTCAACGCTTTACTCCAAAACCCTCACTGGCTCCTACTTGTCCATTGAGCCAAATCCAGGTATGTCACCCTGACTTTATGACCTCTCTGTACCAAGGAGCGATTTAGGCGAACTGCAAAATCTCCTGATCTCCATTGGCACCCCCCATATCTGTGACAGTGTGTGGAGGGATACTCTCTCATCTTATGTAAAATACTGTGTACATACGGCTTGAATTGAGGCCCAAGCCCCCTTTCGAGGAACTCACGCTCTCCTGAGAAACCCCCATGCCAGCACCACCTTCATAACTCCCTCTTCCTCTCCTCACCTCTTCATGTTTCCACCCATGATTCACCTCATCTTACTCTGGTGCGTCCATACTTCTGAAATATTCTCCTCATAAATGGCAACTGGAGACAGCCACCAGGTGCCACTGGGTCCCACCATCATGTTGCTCATAGTCAGAAGCTGAAAGCTGTAAAATGCATCAAAATACATGTGGGCTCACTATTTTGAGAGCATCACTCTTCCGCTATACACCCCAGGCCATCGTATTAAGCACGCCCTCTCACAGGGATAGTGAGGGTAAAAGGGAGTTGACCATGGGGTCATGGGACCCCTGCTTTGTGCAAGGTTTTACAGTACTCAACATAAACACACTCTGGAAGGTGTGGGCACTGCAGAAAACACTCCCAGCTGCCCAGCTGGACATAGCGCTAATTGTCTTGTTAAAAAATGTTTATTGGGCTCGGAGCCTGTGGCTCAAGCAGCTTAGGCGCCAGCCACATACACCTGAGCTGGCAGATTCAAATCTAGCCCGGGCCGCCAAACAACAATGACAGCTGTAGCCAAATTATAGCCAGGCATTGTGGCAGGTTCCTGTAGTCCCAGCTACTAGGGAGGCAGAGGCAGGAGAATCACTTGAGCCCAGGAGTTGGAGGTTGCTATGAGCTGTGATGCCACAGCACTCTACCCACGGTGACAGCTTGAGGCTCTGTCTCAAAAAAAAAAAAAAAAATGTTTATTGGGCCTCGGAGGCTGAGGCAAGAGAATCGCTTAAGCCCAAGAGCTTGAGGTTGCTGTGTGCTATGACGCTACGGCACTCTACCAAGGGTGACATAGACTCTGTCTCCAAAAAAAAAAAAAGTTTATTGGAGAAGAGTTTAATGAATGTCACTTGAATTTAATAATTGTTGGATTTTATCATATTTACTTTATGTTTTATGCTAATGTAGTTTAAAGTAAATTATAGACTAAGTGCAGTGGCTCACACCTTAATCCCAGCACTTTGGGAGGCTAAGGTAGAAAGATCATTTGAGGCCAGGAGTTCAAGAACGTCCTGGGCAACTTACAGAGACCCAACCTCTACTCTACAAAGAAATTATTTAAAAATTATCCAGGTGTCATGATGTGCCTCTATAGTCACAGCTCCTCGGGAGGCTGAGGCAGGGGAATTGCTTGAGCCCAAAAGTTCAAGGTTATAGTGAACTATGATCGCACTCCTGTACGCTATCCACCCTGAACAACAGAGTGAGATCCTGTCTCTAAAAAACAAATTAAAAAGTAAATTATAGACATCATAATGGATCCTGTCTCTAAAAAATAAATTAAAAAGTAAATTATAGACATCATGGCATTCACCTCTAAATATTTCACTGGGAATGTCTAAAAACTAAGAACATTTTCCCCATAACTACAAATGCCATTATCACACGTGACACACTGAACATAGGTCTCAAACACCACCCAATATTCATTTCCCCAATTATCCCCCAAATATCCTTTATTACTGGTTTGTTCAAACAAGAATCCAAATGGAAGTGGGTCCTGTTCCTCCCAGGCCCTGCTCTTTGCTAGATGGCTGTGAGGTTTAGTTTATCGCTCCCCGCTGACACTGTGCTATCTTCCCAGGGACCAGCTTCTTTGCTGGTATATGCTCCTGGAGTCCCACACAGAATTGGGAGCCAGGGGAAGGGATGTGTGGGAGGTGAGGCTGGGGCTCAGCAGCAGTCTTTCCTTGCAGCCATGACTTCATCGGGGAGTTCACCACCAGCTATCGGGAGCTGGCCCGTGGGCAGAGCCAATTTAACATCTACGAGGTGAGGCGTGAAGTCTGGGGCTTGCACTGATGATAAATGGCTCCCAGTCACTGAGGACTATAGTGAGCCACGTGCTAGGCTGGGGGCTTTGCATGTTTTCCTCTCAGGTGGGTGTTACCGTCCCATTCTACAGTTACAAAGATTGAGTCTCAGAGAAGTGTGAGAATTTTCCCCAAACCACATAGTTCAGTAAAGGGAAGAATCAAGAGGCAGACAACCGGACTTGTCAGATTCCCAGTTGCCATGTTACAGTGTCCCCCTAAAGAGCACTTCTGACATGGGGAGGGTGACAGGAGTGGGGGTGCAGTAGAAGATGGGGGGGCAGTATGAGAAGGTTCTGGGCTTCAGATCTGAGGTCTTCAGCTCAAGGTGGCTCTCTGCTTTTAGTCAGAACAGGTTCAGGGCCTCCCAAGTATCTTTTCCAGAAAGAGTGAGTGGACAACAGGAGTTGGGATTCCTTCCTTGATCTGGCCCTGGAGTGGGAGAGCCTTGGACAAGGCACCTGAGATAATAGCATTTGCCCTCAAAGGACAGTGCTCTCCCCCTGCACTGCCCTGCCCACCTTCACAGTCTAGCTCAGGTCTTGCTCCCCCAAGTGGCCTTCCCAGCCCCTCTGATGTCCTGTGCTTTCTCTCTTCTCTGAACCCTCATGGACATCATGGTACATGACAAAACCTACTTAATGGCAGATCCTCCTAACCCTAATAACTGCTTGGGTTCTTATCCTGACTCTAACACTTACTAGCTATGTGATCTCGGCTAGGTCCCTAAACTACCCTGTACCATGCAAACTGGGAATTAAATAAGTTAATGGAACAGTGTGTAGCCCAGAGGTCAGCACTGTCTTCTGTTGTCATCTGCTGAGCGTCAGTGTGCCAGGAGACGCACATTTCATACCCATCCTACCGTACTGGAGCCATCCTCATGCCAGCAGCCACTCAGCTGGTCAAGTCAGGTAAAGAGTTGGCTTTGGGTCCCATCACTGGATCCAAATCCCTTGAAACTTCCACCCCCCTGCTCTGTATCGCTGCTCCAAGTGAGCAGGTCTTATGTTCCACCTAGACATCCCAAGGACAGGCAAAATGACAGCCCTTTCTGTTACCTCCCTTCACTGGCCAGGCCTGATGGGGACACAGTAGGTGCCTTTTGTACATCACATGCTGAATTAAATTGAATGTGGCTATTGTGAAGATGGAGTGTGGATGAATTTCTTTGAAAGGGCTCTGATACAGTAAATTGCTTTGTTTTCTGCATCTATAAAGAGAGGGACTGTCTTTCCCTCCCAACCTAGGCAGAGAGAAGCAGATGTCACCTTTCTCTGGCCTCCTTTGAAGAGATTTTTAGGGAAGTGAAGGGAAGAGATCAAATCTCTTGGACTAAAAGCAGAAAATGTTGGATCGACTTGTTTTCTCAATTATTGATCTCTGCTTTTTTACAATCAGTAAGAGAAGCTGCCATCTGCGGAGGCAGGAGCACCATTTTCATAGGCCATCAGGTGGCAAAGGAGTTCAACTCTGCCAGTCCCATTGGAGACTGCTTTGCGCTCAGGAAGGCCTTGCCTGTACAGGGAACAGGCTTTGTTTGGCTGGTAAAGACCCATGCCTCGGGCCCTGGCATTGCCAGACTCCAGAGTGTCAGACTCCTATGTCCAGTTGTCTGCTGGTCCTTTGGACTCAGCCTTCCAAAACTGAATGCTCCTGGATAGCTGGTTCCATCTCCTGTGATCCCATCCCAAGGGCCAAGGCTACCTCGGGAGTCATCCTTAACATCTCCCACCCCATGTTCCACATCTGGTCCACAAGCAAATGTGCCCTTCTGCTACCTACATTTTCCAGCATCTGTTCCCTTCATCTCAGTCTACCACCATCATCATCTGTCCTGCATGGGGTTTTGCAATAGCCTCTTCATGGCCTCCCGCCTCCTTCTATCCTCCTTATGGTAACCAGGGTGCTCCACCAAAATTGTAATCTGGCCACATTGCCCCCCTGCTTGACGCTTGTCTGCAGCATCCCATCCACTATCTCAGCCTGGTTCACACAGGGGAGGTGGGAGGAGATGCCAAGAGATGTTCCCACCCCAGCTGAGATCCGCTGACCTACAGGGAAAAGTCTAAGCTGCTGTATAAGGGATACTGTGCCTCTGCCAGCCACCTGCACTCTGTGTCTGTAAGTAGAGACATGCATCACATCAGACAACTTTGGAGGCCCCTGAGGGCTGGCCCCTGCCCTTCCCTCTGCTCATCTCCCACTGTCAGCTCCATCCTGCCATCTGAGGCCTTTGAACATCCCTGCTATCTCAGGGAGGTTGGCTAGGACCTGCTGGCCCTTGGAGACTCCCTGTGGAGGTCTGTCCTCCAGGACACTGTCTCTACCTGCACACCCACCCCACCCTACTGTCTGCAGTGGAGATCTCTCTTTGGTCCCTCTGTGGTCCCTTGTGGCTATTACCTACTTTGATACTAAAAAGACTGTGGGGTCTTCCAGAGTGGGGTGGTGTCTTAGTCACTAATGTGTCCCCAAAGCCAGCACAGTTCTGAGGCCCTGAGAGCCCCTGGGTACCCCCATGCATGGGAGAGTAGACCCCAGACCTGCCCTGGGGGCCCTAGGAGGCATCAGGAGAGACAGGTTATCAGTTTGAGACTTAGTAGATAGGGGAGGTTCCTGGGCTGGCCCCTAGGTGGTGCCTGTCCCCTGTGTGGAACTTCACAGTCGCCAAGGGTGGAGCAGCTGGTCCCTGGGGGGTGGGGGGTGTGTTGGGAACACATGAAACCACAGGGCAACAGGGCACTTCTCAGTGCCCACTTTATACAAAGATCTGAGAACAGAGACAGTTATATTAGAGAGTGGAAACGTGGAAGACAGGCCACTTTAAAGATAACATGGAAGGCTTCAAAGAGATATGCTCGTGGCCAGGTCTTTGGGCTACACCTAGAGACGCAGAAGTCCAAGTTCATTCTCCTCAGCTGGGAGGGCCACTTTGGAGTAAGGGTTTGAGATGTGTGTGTTTCAGTCTAATAGCTCATGGGACAAATTGGGGAAAGGAGGCACAGTGCAGCATTGGCTGAGATTTTGCCCTCATCTCCACAGCGTACTTAATGCATTGTTTTCCCTGAGAACCTCATGGGGGGGTGGCCCCCGATACTAAAGAGGCCCTCTGAGGTGGTTCTGGCTGTCTGTCACCCAGTTTCGACCTGGCAGTGTGCAACCCTCCCACCTGAACTTCCTGCCTATGTCCCCAGTCCAACTCCTCCTTCCTTCTGTGTTTGCCTGGTCACCACAACCCCTCGCTCTCTGGTTCCTCTACAGCCACTCCCAGGGCCCAAGATGTGTGGTCACTTCTTGACAGTGCTCTTCTTGCCGCAGCTCAGCACCTGTCCCACACCCTCCAGGTCCTCATACCTCTCATCTAGACCAGTTAAGGCAATAATAGTAGTCGCAGTCATAAAAAAAGTAACAGATTGGCCCAGCCCCTGTAGCTCAGTGGCTGGGGCCCCAGCCACATACACCGGAGTTGGCAGGTTTGAACCCAGCCCAGGCCTGTCAAACAACTACAACTACAACCAAAAAATAGCTGGGCATTGTGGTGGGCACCTGTAGTCCCAGCTACTTGAGAGGCTGAGGCAAGAGAATTGCTTAAGCTCAAGAGTTAGAGGTTGCTATGAGCTGTGACACCATGGCACTCTACTGAGGGTGACATAGACTCTGTTTCAAAAATAAAAAAGTAACTGACACTTATATAGTACTTAGTACATTCCGTAGCTTTATTTATATTACCTATTTAATCCCCATGGCGTTCTTTGAGGCATACATTTTTATTCCCATTTTACAGATGAAAAAACTGAGGCATACTGAGGTTAAGTATTTTGCCTAAAGTCACACAGCTAATAGATGGCAGAACCAAGAAATCATTCCCTAGATATCCCTGCCCCTCCTCTCATACTCACCTCCACCAAGTCCTAGCATCCTAGAACCTGCAGTAATCATGTCCCCTGTAAGCTTGGAGGTCATCAGAGTTTCCTGCAGGCTGCTGGGTGACGTTTAGACTTTTCACTTCACATTCTAGGCTCTCTTCCAGCCAGTCCACTTTCCTCTTCTGTGGGTCCTACAATCCAACTGTCCCCAGTTCTGTGCTTCTTCCCCGTGACCTCTCCTCTGACGTCCATCTCTCTATGCCCAAAGCTTCGCTGTCCCTCCAAGTCTGCCTACGGACCACCTGCTCTGGGGACCCTTTGATGACACTCCCACTTGGAATGGTCTTTCCTTCCTCCAGCTTCCCTGATACTTCACTGATTCCTCCTTTTTGGTGTCCTTGTCACTTAGAACCCTGAGGACATATATCTTCTTTCTCCTGTAGGAGTGGCAATTCTAGGGGAGAAGAAAAGGTACTCCAGTCCCATAAATACCTGTTGAAGGAAGGGTGTGTTTGTATTTGTTATCAAAATGATCACAATATATGTGCCACTGGCCTGAGGGCAGGAAACCTGGTTTCTAATCCAGATGGCTATGTGGCCTTATGCAAATCTCTTGGTGTATCTGTGCCTTGGTTTCCTGATTTCTAGACGTAGATATCAGTACTCATTCAGACAGAAGAGGTAACAGCTAAAGATGCAGATGACCACACTTTGGGGAAGAACAGGAGATGCAGGACTCAGGAGATGTGGGAGAGGGGAAATGATTCACCAGAAACCAACAAGCAGCAGAGGGGTGTGAGAATCACCTTGCTTTGATGGGACATCAGGGGAAGGTTGCGCCTAGACTTCCCCTATTAGAAACAAAAACAAAAAAATAGCTGGCCAGGCTCAAATGAGAGTACAAATACAGTGAGTCTGGTGGCCCTAGTCACTTAGCCCAGGGTTTCTCAGCCTTGGCACTGCTGACATTTGGGACTGTAATGTTCTTGGTTGTGGGAGACTGTCCTGTGCACTGCATGATGTTTGTCAACATCCCCAACTTCTACCCACTCCCCTAGTTGTGACAACCCAAACTTACTAGACGTTACCAAATATCCTAGGTGGGGGGCAAAATCGCCCTGGTTGAGGCCACTGAGTTAGCCCACCAGCAAGTACTGTGTGATTTCTTATCTGGCAACAGGTCTGGCTTGGAATTTAAAGCTTACCGGTGAAGAACAGTTGAGGACGCTTTCTCTGCCAAGTAAAGGTGGTGGTGACTGAGAGGGAGCCTCAGAGCCCCAGGGCAGCCCCTGGGCTGTGTTCCAAAGGAGAAGATTGGAATTGGCTGAGGGAAGAGGGGAGGGCATTTTGGGTAAGGGGAACGGCCTGAGTCAATGCAAGGGACAGGTACAGACAGGGCCACTTTGCGACATCAAGCCTACTTTGGCTGTTAGGGTGGAGGACAGACTTCGGGGAGCAGTGGGAAAGAAGGTTAAATATTCCAGGTTGATTGTGGGATACTGTGTATGATCTAGACCAGTTGTGTAACTAAATACCAGTCTCCCTCAAAACCTCCCTCAACTCTACTCCTCTGGCCCCTATGGTCTTTATACCCCACACTCTGCTAGGGCTGGGACCACACCCAGGATCAGAGGAAGCCCTAGGGACCAGCCCTGACTACTTGGAAACACTCCTTACCCGCTAACTGGTTTTTCCTGCAGGTGGTAAACCCAAAAAAGAAAATGAAGAAAAAGAAATACGTGAATTCTGGCACAGTGAGTAGCCACCCCCTCTCTGCAGCCAGGTGTAGGCATTCTGAGCCCCGAGTCAGGCCTGGCACCAGGGGGTCACGGGCATCAGTGTGTGTGCATGCGCAGACTGTGGGACTCAGACAGGGGGAGAGTGGGAGTGGGGGTGCTGGGGCAGATGGAGCAACAGCCCTGGGAGTCAGCAGTGCAGACCACACAACAGGAGCTGTGCACAGAATGAGGAACTGCAGGAACGCCCACGGGACTTCCTGAAGGAAGAGGAAATTAAGTCGTGTTTATTGGGCCCCTGCTCTAGGAAATTCCCCATTAGGGCTTGTTCTCAAGTTGTTTCCCTGAGAGGCAGATATTATCATCCCCTTTGTCATGAAAGAGGAAACCAAGGCTGCAGGTGGGGAAGTGACTCAGCCAAGGTCACACAGCTCCAGAGTGGTAGTGCTAGGAGTCAACACTGCATCTGACTCCAGAGCTGGAGCTGCTGTGGGCACTGCCACTGCCTAAGTGTAACCATCCTGGGTTGGTTAGACTGTGGAACTCAGACTGGGAGAGAGTGGGGGTGGGGGCCCTGGGGCAGATGGAGCAACAGCCCTAGGAGTCAGCAGTGCAGACCCCTCCCACCCCTGTCCTGGGGTGACACACTGGCCCAGTGGCTTCTGGGGCCTAGTCTTCAGGATATTTGCTGAGTATAACCGTGCACCAGGCACTGTTCTAGGCTCAGGAGATACACTGGGAATAAGACAGACCCAAATTTCTGGTGCTTATACTCTAGTGTGGAGAGACAGAGAACAAATATGTTACATATGCATGTGTGTGTCGGGGGGGCATGAATGCTACAGAAAAGGGCATAATATGGGAAAGGAATGCGGACTGGAGCAAGTATTGAGGATATTAGGGAAAGGGTATTCCAGCTTCAGGAACAGCTCATGCAAAGACCCTGAGGTAGAGTCCACAGTACATTTATAAAACAGGCCACTGTCTTTGCAGTACAGACACATCCAGGCTCACCCTCTTTGTGTTTCCTCCTCACTCTGTGGCCCCCTCAGCTCACACAGCCAAGCTCAGTCATTCAAGTCAGGCAAATTGCAACTCTAGACCCAGAGGAGGCCTGAGGGAGCTCTAGGGTTCCTTTAAGGAACCTCATTTTCTCCATCTCTAAAATGGGCTAATAAGTCATCCCTACCCTGCTTACTGTACAAGGTGACTGTGACAGACATATGGGAGATGCAGGCTTATAAACTGTTAAGTACTCTGCATTCAAAGAGGACTGACCACCCCTTCTGATTGTAACTGCTTCAAAGACTGGGGCTTGGAATGATATTTCCTTTGTTCAAAGCTGTGATCTTTCTTAGTGGGGGTGCTGTCAGCATTGGGTCAGGATAATTCTTCATCTCACAAGACTTCCCCAGATATTGTGGGATGTTTGGCACCCCTGGTCTCTGTCAGTAGGGCCCCCGTCATTATGAGAACTCCCCAAATTCTTCCAGCCCTTCCTAAATGCTCCTAGGGGAGGCAGAACCTTCTCCAGCTAGGAACTCTTGGATGTACAGCTAAAGATGAAAAGGTTCTAAAACCCACTGATCCCACCCAGCCTTCTTACTGTAGAGGAGAAGAAACTGGCCCAGAGGGGAAAATGGGATTTGTCCCAGTGAGGCAGAGGCAGAGCTGGTCTAGGTTTAGGTCCCTTGACTTTCCTCTACTCTAATGTTCCACCATGAAAAATCACCCAGGATCCCAGATACTTGTTAAAAAACAGATGCCTGGGCCAGTTCCCTGGGATTCCATTCTGGGAGTCTGTGTTCAGTGCTTCTCATCCCTTACTCCCTACATGAAGAATCCCCTGGGGATCTTGTTAAACTGCCAAGAATCTGTATTTCTAACCATCAAAATGCTGCTGGTCTAAGAACCATTCTTGTAGTAGGTAAAATCTGCATTCACGCTGCAAGTCCCTGGGTGAATCCATATGGCCGGGCAAGTTAGAGAATTGTTTCCTTATAGGGCAGTGGTCCTCAGCCTTCCTAATGCCTCCTAATGCCGCAACCCTTTAATACAGTTCTCATGTTGTGGTGACCCCCAACCATAAAATTATTTTCATTGCTACTTCATAGCTGTAATTTTGCTACTGTTATGAATCACAATGTAAATATCTGATATGCAGGATGTATTTTCATTATTACAAAGGGGTCACAACCCTTAGGTTGAGAAGTGCTGTTATAGGGACTTGGGGATGGAGTCAATCCTGGCTGTGAGTTAAACTCATGCGAAGTGCTTAAAAAGAAAAAAAAAAGATTTCTGAAACTCTAATGTAGCCCCAGAAGTATAATTTGCTGGATTGCAATATGTTTTAAAAGCTCCCTAGGGAGTCTAATATCACAGTTGACTCCACCACTATAGGCCATTACTAGTAAGTCTGAGCCACCAGGCTTGGAAGGAGGTTTTGTGGTTTATCCAGGTCCCTAACACCATAACCACAGTGGGTGGGGGGTCTCCAAGACTGGGATCCTGCCTGGTCTACCCAGTGAGCCTATAGAAATGGCTGCACCTGCACTAACAGGAGGATCTCAAAATGCCAGAGGGGAAGTTATTTCTCTCATGTAGGCAAAAAGTCCTCTGCTCTGATCTTGCCTCATCTAACTGGTGTGGGATGCCAGGCTTTGACTTGTCCCCATGACCCCAAACTGCTATCATAATGAGCTGCTGGGTGGCTGTTTGTCTTGGCAGAGCTGATGCTAATATCATATCATATCATAGATGGAGAGACCTCTGCTTGGGAGGGGCACCCGCAGTGGTCAGTTGCCTCCAGGAAAAGGACATGCTGCTCATGGGGGTCTTAGATCTGAGAGGGTGGAGACTGAGAGGCCCCAAGAGGGTTGAGGAGGGACCAGTAAGGTTTAAGACAAGCACAGACCAAAGAGTCACATTTCAGGATTGATAGCAGTGGCGTGTGGAAGCGTGGAGCTGGTTGGCATTAGCGGGTTGTTAGGCCTGTGTCAGGAAGGCCCCCTTGCCCTCCGTATCCCACCCTAGGGCCCTGGAGTTGGAGAGCCAGTGCCCAATTAGGGGAAACTCATGTCCTTGGCTTGGGCCCCTATACTCCAGTGACAGAGTGGGACACTTCTATTGAGGTCGAGAGTTCAGGCTCTGGAATCAAATAGGTCCCCACTCTGTCTTGGTAGTGTCCTTGGGCATGTTATGTCACTTCTTTTAGTCTCAGTGTTCTTGGCTATAAAATGGGGTAGTAATAGTACTTCACAGGGCGGTTGTAGGCACTGCATGCAATAATGCATGCGATAATGCATGCAGAACTGCACACTGTTCTATAAATGTCAGCCCTTACGTCATAAACCATCTTCCCCTGACCCCTTGTTCCCTACTCCTTTTTGTTTTCAAGGTCACCCTGCTTTCCTTTGCTGTGGAGTCAGAGTGTACCTTCCTTGACTACATCAAAGGAGGGTGAGAAGAGACACAGCCAGTTTCGTCAGCTGCAGGGAGAGAGAAGGGGCTCCCACACATACCCCTTCCCTGTGATGCTGGGCTCTGAGCAAACCCTGGATTCTGGGCTTAGACAACTTTCCCAGAGCCCTGAACAGCTGCAGAGGGAACTCCTGAGCCAAGAAGGCTGGCCTGGGTCACATCAGGTCCCCATCCAGAGAAAGGACCTGGAGGTGGTAGGGACTCCATGGCAAAGAGAACCAAGGGTTTGGGGAGGTGGAAAGAGTACTGAACTAGGAGTGAAAAGACCCAGGCTCTAGGCCCCTCTTTGCCATAAATTTGCTGGATTAATTTAGGCTGTTCATTTTCCCTCTCTGGGTATCAGTTTCCTCCTCTGTACACAAAGAGATTAGAATAGGTATATTTTAAGGTTCCTTCCAGCTCTGAGCTGCTGATGCATCTGATCTGTTGGCAGAGGCAGGGGGCAGTGATTAACCTGCTCACTGTTATCAGGGGCCTGTAAGGGGCAGTGGGATTGGGAGATGAGGCAGGGGGTGGTCCTAGGGCTAACAGGTGGTCAAACATGAGTTTAAGGAGCAGAGAGGATGGTGTCCAGGCCCAGACAGGTGGGGAAGCCAGAAGGCGCTAGCCAACAGCTCACGGAAAGAACCTGACTCAAGATGAGAGCCTGCCTGGCTTGCTCACTGCCAGAACAGGTGCCAGGTCAGGGTGTGGGCAGCCAAGAGCCCACAGGTGCAGACAGGTGAGTAGCTACACCTGTCTGGAAAGGAGACAGGGCAGTTGCCAAACGCTCCTCCCAGCCAAGTAGGCACTTGGCTCCCTGGTTCTCCAAAGCAGAGGGAGAAGGCGGGCCTTGGGAAGCCACACTCACTTTCCCATGACTCTGTTCCCTGCTGCCTTGAACTTGCAGAGTCTCAAGTTTGCAAGCTCTACCCTTCTACCCACTGAGCACACGCCCTCCCCCTGGGCACCCAGGGCCTCCTCTGCCCCTTCCTGCCCCTCCTTTGAGCCCATATTAGACCCTGCCCTTGCTCCCTTCCTGTCTCATGAAGCCACCACCACTTATATTCCGTAGCACCTGGAATTTCCAAACAACCCTCACCCTGATTATCCTTCTCATTTGCATAGTATGCCCAGCTTACAGAACATAGTGGGCAGAGCCAGAATGGTTATCTCCATTGTACATAACTTGCCCACAGTCTCACACCAAGACGGTGGCAAGGTTCACAACGTGCTACCTTTCATTCCATAGTAATTAATAATCCTGGCCCTGCCTGCCTTGTAGCTGGCTACAGGTGGGGTGAGATGAAGACTGATGAAGTAAAGGCTGGGTGCTGTGAGGTTTCATTGAGAAGGAGCCCTGCTGAGTGCAGGGGCTCATGCCTGGAATCCCAGCACTTTAGGAGGCCAACATGGAAAAATCTCTTGAGGCCGAGAGTTCAAGACAATATAATGTTGGGCAACATAATGAGGCCCCTCCCCCAACCCTCCCATTCCTTTTCTCTACCAAAAAAAAATTTAAAGTTAGCCTGCCATGGTGATGCACACCTGTAGTTCCAGCTACACAGGAAGCTGAGGTAGAAGAAATCATTTGAGCCCAGGAGTTTGAGGTTGCAGTAAACTATGATGACACCACAGCACTCCAGCCTGGGCAGCAAAGAAAGATCTCCATCTCAAAGAAATAAATAAAAGAAACCCTTAGAGGCTTGGCTACTGGCAAAGCTGGTGCCACCCTTGCTGGGCAGGTTAGAGCCCCAGAGCCAGCCCTCTCTTTAAGCTCTCTGGAGAGTCTTGAGTCAGCTGGCTTCAGGGAGTGAGAGCCCAGCATGCATGTCCAGGCAGGAATGTGATGGAGGCTTTTATCTAGAGATCCTGGCCTCCCTCTCCTGCCTACCTGGACCCAGGAGGAAGGATATGAATACCTCTCTCCCAATCAGAGGAGGGGCTGGTTGCTCACCAGCCTGCATTCCGCCCTTAGGCAGGAGAGACTAGGCTACTGGGAGTAATTTCTCCATAAATGTACCTGCTTTCCAGTTGCTTTCTTCCCTGATTCTTTTCAGAATCCAGAGCAGGGGAGGACTAGTTAAGGAGAAAGACCTGCCTTTCTTCTCACCCTGTATTTGCAAGAGTTCCTCAGCTGTAGTCTTGCAGGCTGGAATGACCCCCCCCCCCAAGGGTGGCCCTGGGAGTGGGGCTCTAACCCTCCAAATGTCTCCCTTCCTTTATTTTTATATTTATTTATTTATTTCTGAGACAGAGTCTCACCATGTCACCCCTGGTAGAGTGCCGTGGCATCACAGCTCACAGCAACCTCAAACTCTTGGGCTTAAGTAATTCTCTTGCCTCAGCCTCCAAGTAGCTGGGACTATAGGCACCCAGCTATTTTTTTTTTTTTTTTTGTTATTGCAGTTGTCATCATCGTCATTTAGCTGGCCTGAGCTGGGTTCAAACCCGCCACCCTCAGTGTATGTGGCCAGTGCCCTACTCACTGAGCTATGGGCGCCACCCTGTCTTCCTTCCTTTAACAAAGACGTATTCTTTATATTCCATACTGGGAGATGACCGATTAATATAGTAAGCCAAGTGCTATAACAGTTAATTCCCTAATCTTAAGGCTTAATACAAATAGAGGTTTATTTTTTGTCTGTGGGATGTCACGGTTGGGTGGGGAGAAGATCCATACAGTCATTCAGGGACCCAGGCTCTTGCTATCTTGTGGCTCCTTTTGTTTTAGAGGCTGGAATCCACTGAATTTTCTGCCTTCAGCCAGCAGAAAATGGGAAAAAGTGTGAGGTAGACTGTTTGTGGCCAGTAGACTCTGGTTTGGGTCTTCTGCTACCATATCCATGATCTTTCCTGTGAGGAAAGCCCCTGGTGAGGGGCTCATGAGCTGCAGCTCAGATATGATCAGGTTTAGAGAACTATGGTTTCTCATAAGAACCTTTTGCCAAATGCAGGGTAAGTGAGGCCTGCCTCATATTACCTCATCCATAGCCCCAACTGAGAACTACTAGAATGGAGTTTCCCCAAATGTGATCCCAGCACCCCTTCCTCAGAATCCTGGATGAGGACGGGAGATGTTTGTTAAGAGGCAGATTGTAGGGCCTTTATCCAGACCAACTGAATTGGCATCTCTGGGGTAGAGCCCTGGAATCTTCTTTTTAAATAAGCTCCCCCCATGGTTGGTGCCCGTGGCTCAGTGAGTAGGGTGCCGAGGGTGGTGGGTTTGAACCTGGCCCCAGCCGGCTGAACTGCAACAAAAAATAGCCAGGCATGTGGCGGGCACCTGTAGTCCCAGTTACTCTGGAGGCTGAGGCTAGGTAATCGCCTAAGCCCAAGAGCTGGAGGTTGGTGTGAGCTGTGACCTCAAGGCACTCTACTGAGGGCGACAAAGTGAGACTGTCTCTAAAATAAATAAATAAATAATCTCCCCTCATTTTTCTACACTGACTGCAGTGTGAAAACTACAAGACTAGACTTTATCAGGGACCAGTGCGTGTCAGTTTTGTTCTGTCTGCATCTGGCACAGAACCTAGAATGGCAAAGCACTCAGAGAATTTCAACCCTGAATTTGAATCCCCCAAACCTACTTTTTTCTTTCTCTCTTTTTTTAGAGAAAATCTCACTTTGTCGCCCCCGGTAGAGTGCTGTAGTGTCACAGCTCACAGCAACCTCAAACTCTTGGGCTCAGGTGATTCTCTTGCCTCAGCCTCCCAAGTAGCTGGGACTACAGGCACCCACCACAACACCTGGCTATTTCCTACCTTTTTCTTTCTTTTTTTTTGAGACAGAGCCTCAAGCTGTCCCCCTGGGTAGAGTGCTATGACATCACAGCTCACAGCAACCTCCAACTCCTGGGCTCAAGCGAGTCTCCTGCCTCCGCCTCCCAAGTAGCTGGGACTATAGGCACCCACCACAATGCCCAGCTATTTTTTGGTTGCAGCCATCATTGGTGTTTGGCAGGCCCGGGCTGGATTCGAACCCGCCACCTTAGGTGTATGTGGCTGGCACCTTAGCCACTTGGGCCACAGGCGCCAAGCCTTCCTACCTTTTTCTTATAGAAAATTTATTTCAGGTTGGGCGTGGTGGCTCATGCCTATAATCCTAACACCCTGGGAGGCTGAGGTGGGTGGATTGCTTGAGCTTAGGACTTCAAGACCAACCTGAGCAAGAGTGAGACCTTATCTCTACTAAAAATAGAAAAACTAGCCAGGCATAGTGGTACATGCCTGTAGTCCCAGTTACTCAGGAGGCTAAGGCAAGAGGATCACTTAAGTCCAAGAATTTGAGGTTGCTGTGAGCTATGGCACTCTACCTAGGGTGACAGAGTAAGACTCTGTCTCAAATAAAGAAAAAAAGAATATTTATTTCAAATATGTGCTGAAGTGAAGAAGAGGTATAACCAACCCCGAAGTACCCTTCATCTAGCTTCAATACCACCCATAGTCAGTCTTGTTCCACGTGTTTTCCCCTTCATCCAGTTTTTTTTTTCAGTTTTTATTTTATTTTATAGTTTCTATTTTTCTTTTTTTTTGATATGGGAGTCTCACTATATTGCCCAGGTTGGCCTTGAACTCTGAACTCAGGCAGCCTCCCAGCATCCTGTTATTTTGAAGCAAATCCCAGCCATCCTATATCCCCCAAATACTTCAGAATGTGTCTCTAAAATATAAAAACTGTCTTTGTTGTTGTTTTTTCATTTTTATTTATTTATTTCTTTTTTGTTGCAGTTTGGCTGGGGCTGGGTTTGAACCCTTGGTATATGGGGCTGGTGCCCTACTCACTGAGTCACAGGAGCCACTCTAAAAACTCTTGTCTTTGTAAGACATAACCGCAATACCATTGCCACACTTACAAAATGAACAGTTTGTTAATATCAGATATCTGGTTAGTGTTCAAATTTCCCCAATTGTCTTATGAAGTTTTTTTTTTTTTTTGGCTGGGACTGGGTTTGAACCCTCCACCTCCAGCATATGGGGCCAGCACCCTACTCCTTTGAGCTACAGGTGCCGCCTGTCTTATGAAGTTTTTTATTTGTTTCTTTTGAATCAGAAATCCAGGCAAGATCCATATGGCAATTGGTGGATATGTCTTATATCTCCTTTTATCTGTCGGTTCCTCTGAGCACCTGAATGGCTCGTAAAGCAGCTTGCCCCACCAGGAGGTTCTGACTCAATAGGTCCAGACTGAGCCTGAGAGGCCCAACAGTGGGTGATTCTGATGCTGCTCCTTCTGATAGTGAAGTATAGTTATAGTTTCCCCCAGACTAGGTTTTGCTGGCTGACCTCCTATGGTGTTATTTAACATGTTCGTTTGCCCCCTGCATTTCCTGTAAATGACTGGAAGATAGCTCTGGAGGCCGAATCACATTCAGGTTCAATTTTTCAATAAGACAATTTCATGGGTGGTAGTTTGTTCTTTTCTTAGGATGTGCAATGTCAGTTTGACTTTTGTAAATAAGTTTTAACCCTGAATCTGACTCCAAATTTGACCCCAAAATCCAGCGAGACCCATCTGCATCCAACACACTCAGGTGGGCCTAGGGGACAAAGTTTGGGGAGGAAATATGCAATCATAGCCACATGCCCACACAGAACAATTCATCTTCAATGGGCTTTCCTACTGTCTGACGCTTTTGATGCTCACAACAGTCCTTTGGAGGAAGGCATAGCTGGCACCACCATCTCAGTTTTCCAGAGCTGGAAGGAGATGAATGACCTCACCAAGGCCACATACCTGGCAGGCAATGGGCCAGGGTGGCAGTCAGGTTTCTCCCTCACCGTCCAGCTACCCCCCTGCACTGCCTCTCTCCAGGTGACTTTCCTGCTTCTTTCTCCCCCTTCTAGGACCCAGATCAACTTCACCGTGGCCATCGATTTCACTGCCTCCAATGGTGAGTGGGGGAGGGGCGGGGAGCAGAGGGCTTTTAAGGGTTGTGTGGTTGGCCCTGCCTGGGAGCCTTCCCCACTGAAGAAGAGGTACCCAGAGGACCAAAGATACAATCCAGGAGGCAAAGGTGTCCCCAGGTCAGACTACTGACCCTAACAGATCTGGGCTTCCGGGCTGTATATCCTGAACCACATCCTTGCCCTTGAACACACAATCTGTCTGGGAGAATGGGACAGTATGCACTCTGGATGTGTGGAAAGCCCTAGACAAAAGATGTTTCCTACCAGGATCAAATCCCACCTCATACAGTCCAGCCTGTAGGCTAGAGGGGAGAACTAGAGCCAAAACTGAGCTCTCTGGTCCTCAGGGAGGCAGGACTCAGCCCCGGGACCCCAGTCCTTACCTTGTTGGGGCCGCCTTGGCTTCCTTCCTTAGCTCAGTGTCAGGCTGTGGCCAGGTATCCAGGAATAATCATGATGCCAGACTTTACATTGTTGGAAGCATCTCTACCTTCCTTGGGTTCTGGACTCCCATTTGGGGTGCTAAGTGCTCATATTTGCACCAGTCATAAGTACCAGGTCTTACCCTCCTCAGGTGTGTCAGAAACCCCTCTTAAAGCATGCAGGGCCTACCATCGTATTGTGTCAGGCTCTCAGAGCTGGGAGGGACATTAGTGGCGTATAGGGGGCTATTAGTACAGCTTAATAATAACAATAATGCTCAAGTGGCTAAGGCACCAGCCACATACACCTAAGGTGGCAAGTTCAAATCCAGCCCGGGCCCACCAAACAACAATGATGGCTGCAACCAAAAATAGCCAGGCATTGTGGCGGGCGCCTGTGGTCCCAGCTACTTGGGAGGTGGAGGCAGGAGACTCGCTTGAGCCCAGGAGTTGGAGGTTGCTGTGAGCTGTGATGCCACAGCACTCTACCCAGGGTGACAGCTTGAGGCTCTGTCTCAAAAACAAACAAACAAAAAAACCCAATAATGATAGTTATAATAATTATACCTATTTAATCCTCAACACCAATCCTATGAGGTGGGAGCTATTATTATTCCTATTTTGCAGATGAACACACTGAGGCTGAGAGGTTAAGGAACTTATCCAAGATCACACGGCCAATAGAATGTAGAAACAAGTTTGGTACCATGGCAGTTTACTAAACTGCCTCATTAATGAACGAATAAGTAAATACGGTCTATATTAGTGGTGACAGGGGCTCTGGGGAAAAATCAAGGCAGGAAGAGGGATGGGGAGGGTTGGGGGAGGCTGCAACTTTTAATAGGCTACTCAAGAAAAACCACAATGAGCAGATGACCCTTCAGCAGAGACCTGAAGATGTGAGGGAGCAGGCAGTGTGGGCATCTGGGGAAAAGTGTCCCAGGCAGAGGGAACAGCCATTGCCAAGGTCCAGCAGCAGGAACAGTGTGAGGTTGGAACTGGGGCACAGTGATAGGGAGGATGGTAGGAGAGGTAACTGGAGCCAGATCTTATGGGGCCCTAAGGGTTCCTATAAGGACTTTGGGTGACATGGGAACACTGAGCGATTTGAGCAGAGGAGAGGTGTGGTCTGCCTGACAGGTCTGACAGGCTGACTGGCTGGTGTGCTGAGTGTGGGCTGTAGGTGCAAGGCTATAAGGAAGCGGGAGGTCAGTTAGAAGGCTGCTGCAGTCCTGTAAGCAAGAGGACGGTGGTACTGAGGAGGAGAGAAGGGGGTGGCATTCAGGATCTGTTCTGAAGTTTCAGCCACCAGGATTTGCCAAAGGGTAGATTGTGAGGTGAGAGAGAAAGAGAGGAGTCCAGGATAAATAAATGTTAAGGGTGCCTTTGGACACCCCCTTCTGCATTCTGAAGCTGGGTGCTTGGAAGGTCCAGGCCATCAAATGTTCCCATGTCCTTGTCACAGGAAACCCCTCACAGTCCACGTCCCTGCACTACATGAGTCCCTATCAGCTGAATGCCTATGCGCTGGCACTGACCGCCGTCGGGGAGATCATCCAGCACTATGACAGCGACAAGATGTTCCCTGCCCTTGGCTTTGGGGCGAAGCTGCCCCCGGATGGCAGGGTGTCCCACGAGTTCCCGCTGGTAGGAAATGCTGCTAATGGGAGAAAGGGCTGAGGGCAGATCAGGCTAGGGTATGGTGACGAGCACGGGGAGGGGGAGAGAGAGAATTTTCCATTCTCTGAGTTTAGGAACTTAAAGCACAGCCTCTGGGGGGTAGATCACCTGTGGCGTGTAGGGGGGCTCTTAGTACAGCCTCCAGAAACCCATTGCCCACCCTGCTCACAAACGCCTCCCCTCCAGGTCTGAGGCTGCCCATGGCTAGCTCTGACCTCCTTGTTCCTGACAAGATGGAGGGGGAGGGGGAGCTGTGGCTAAGCCATCCCTAAGGTCCCAGAAAAGAGGATAAGGGGTGTGGTTTGGATATGAGCAACTGTGGGTCATTCTAGGAGCTCCCCAAGTCGGTGCTAAGATGGGATGAGGTGGCTCCCTGGGGTGATGTGGAATGTGGCATCATCTGGAGGTTCTAGCACCCTGGGGAAGTGACTACTCAGGCCCCCCTCCCTTGTTCATGTGAGCTGGAGACACTGAGTCACAGCAGACGGTTCCTCCCGTGTCTAGGAGTGCCAGGCACTGTGCTCGGCACAGGACACATGAGGATGGAGCCACAGACCCTTTCTGAGTTCCTCACACCCTGCAGTCATTTTAGGATATGGTGGCTCTCAGGGGGCCCTTGTGAAAGCAGGTCTGGGGAGCAGGGCAAAGAGCAAGTTTGGGCCTGCTCACCTAAAGCACTCACGGTCCTTCAGGGTGGACCTGGGGGACTCCCTCCCGTGCCCCCCCACCCCACCTCAGGGAAGGGTCTAGGGGAGCCCAGGGCTGCAGGCCTCCCTACTGGCTGTGTTCCAGCACATCACCCACCACCTCCCCATCCTCTGTGTCCCCAGAACGGCAACCAGGAGAACCCCTCGTGCTGCGGCATCGATGGCATCCTGGAGGCCTACCACCGCAGCCTGCGCACCGTGCAGCTCTACGGCCCCACCAACTTCGCCCCCGTGGTCACCCACGTGGCCAGGTGAGTGTGGGCTCACTGCCCTCCCAGCCCTTCACAGGCCTCTGTTTCCCCATCTGTCTCTTCCCACAGACTTGCCTTTCAAGGAGCCCTGACCCTGAAGATACCTCCCACCAAGAGCTATTCCCACCTTAGTGTTCAGGGTCCTTGTTGTGGGGGGAGCATGCCCAGGGACCCCCAGCCAGACCTCAGCCCATGCCCACCCCACCCAGGAATGCGGCGGCCGTGCAGGACGGCTCCCAGTACTCAGTGCTGCTCATCATCACGGACGGGGTCATCTCGGACATGGCGCAGACCAAGGAGGCCATCGTCAATGTGAGTGAAGATAGCAAGGGGAGGGGTGGGAGAGGAATGGTCCAGTTTGAGGGATTTCTCCCTCTTACTTCAGGGATACTCTAGGGGGTGGACTGGGTGTGTCTTCTCTTTTTCACTGCCCTCCCTGGGTCCTGCTGCCCTCAACCAACTCCTGGCTTTTAGCTAGAGTCTGGTGGGAGTTGTAGGAGGGCCGGGCAGTGGGGTTTGGGCCCAGCTCATGAGAGATCTGGCTGGTGAGCTCTGTGCCTGCCTCTCCACCACACTGGATGGTGCACCCACTCCAGACTCCTATGGCTGCCTCCCCAGCCATCCCTAGGACTGCACCCCAGAGTCCAGGCCAGTCTGGCCAGGTAGAGGAGGTGGAAGGCCCGGAACAGGGAAGCCCAGGGATGTGGCCTACCTGGCACTCTCCCTGTGAAAGGAGCGTGCCAGGGATGTGGCCTACCTAGCACTCTCCCCTGAAAGGAGCCCAGCTGCAGCCATATTGGTCCGTCCTTAGAGCCACATAAAATAGGGCCCCATGTGGCAGAGACTCGGGCAGAGGAGGCGGCAGCGTGGCTCATAGAGGCAGACTTGTGACCCACTTCCCCTCTGCCTCCTTCCCTTTCCCTGGGGCCCACCTTGGTTTCCCTTGGTCTTTCTCTCTGATCCCCTCCCTCTCTCTACCCCCTTTCTGTCTGTCCATTGTTTACTCTCCCATTTCTTTACTGTCCCTGGCCTCTCTTGTTTTGACCCATGATCTCTGCTTTCTTTCAAATGGCCCCTCATTGGGTCCAACCTTCCCCAACTCCCTGATGTCTCCCAAGGCTGCCAAACTGCCCATGTCCATCATCATCGTCGGTGTGGGCCAGGCAGAGTTCGATGGTGAGTCCTGCTGCTGCCCCAGCCCCGTCCCAGCCCTGTACTCCTGCCCCAGTGTTTCCCCAGAGGCTCCAGGCCCCTGGAAAGGACCCTACCCAAAAGGAGTGTTCATGCCTGGGCGTGTGTGACTGGGTGAGTGTGCAGGGCGTGAGGGTGCATTTGTTTGCACAGGGAGGGATACATCAGGTCAGGGTGTGCCCTACACCCACATCCCAAGGCTGGGGAGAGGAGGCCCCAAGTCACACCTTTGTCTTCCAATCCCTAGAAGCCTGAGGAGAGGCCAGGGGGTGAGGGCTGGAGCACTGGGCTAGAAGTCTGAGGCTCACTTGGTTAGGCTCCTCCTGTCTCCTGGCCTGTTTCCTTATCTCTAACATGGAGGCCTGGGCCAATGGTCTCCTGGATTTGGCTGGGATTGGAGGACAAGTCCACCTCCTGCCAGGCCCAGGTGTCCACTACTAATTCTCCTCCCCACACAGCCATGGTGGAGCTGGATGGTGATGACGTGCGGATCTCCTCCCGGGGGAAGCTGGCTGAACGGGACATTGTCCAGGTGAAGCCCAGACCCTGCCTGCTCCATAGGAAATATAAGAGCCCATCACCAGGCTGACCTCTGATCTGTTTGGGGGGCTTCCCTGGGGGAGGGGCCCTGAGGGAGGCAGCGGAAGTCCCAAAGGGTCCTGGCCACTGCAGAAGGGGACAGGAGTCAGACCTCAGGCCACACTTCTCTCTGAGCTGCCATGTTCAAGACTCATTCCTAACATTGTTGGTGACCTGAGCTCGCAACCCAGAACATTCTGCCAGCTCTCCCTGAGCCCCCAGGCCTCTGTGGGCTTCTACTTTCCGTTGTTTTCTGCCTGGCAGGCTTCACAGTGAGATGTCAAACCCCTGAAGGCGGAGGAGGTATCTTTAGTGAGCAGCCCTCACCAAGAACAGGAGGGGTTAACTAAATCAGTGTCTTAACTTCTCTGTGTAGGATGCAAAGATAATGAGCAGAGAGGTTTTTGTCCTCTGGGAATTCCTATCCAGTCAAGCAGAGAACGCACCCTCAGCAAGCACATCCCTCAGTGAATCTCCACAGGCTGGGCCCCTCTGTGCTTAGGAAATGGGGAATAAATAACTGACATTCTCCATATCCCCTTGGTTTAAAAATCAGGGAAGAGTATCCCCAATGTGGAGACCAAAGATGGGGGCAGGGAACCAAAGCAAGGGTAGTCTGGGAGGTAAGACCAGTCCATGCCAAGGCCTAGAGGCAGGAATGAAGGAAGAAGCCCAGCTTTAGGTGTTAGCCAGATTAGCTCCAGAGAGAAAAGGGGAGAGGAGAGGCCAGCAACAGAGGGCTATGGAGAAGTTGGGAGGGCCCTATGGGAGGGCACATGCCAGGGGGTTCGGTCAGTGTTTCCTGAGCACCCGCTAAGGGCTCGTCTTCATCCAGAGACTTGAAAGAGCAGAGAATCTTGTTTAGTGGTGTTTCGTGGCATGGGACAGGTGCTCAGTATCTATTTGTTGAGTGAATGAAAGAATAGCGACTGTGACACAGCCTCAGGGAATTCACTGCGGGGGGGATTAGGTAAAGTGGGCAGAGGCTGGGGGTTGAGGACATGAGCCATGGCCTGGAGACCCGGGGGGCTGGGGTCCAGTGGGGAGCATTGCCCAACTGTGCCTTCCTGTCTGACCCTGCCCTACTGCTGCCAGTTCGTACCCTTCCGGGACTACGTGGACCGCACAGGCAACCACGTGCTGAGCATGGCCCGCCTGGCCCGAGACGTGCTGGCCGAGATCCCTGACCAGCTGGTGTCCTACATGAAGGCACAGGGCATCCGCCCGCGCCCCCCGCCTGCAGCACCAGCCCACTCACCCCCACAGTCCCCAGCCCACACTCCCCCTGCCTCCCCTCTGCATACACACATCTGAACCTGGTCCACAGCAGGCAGGTGATTGGGGCCTGGGGGAGGCCCGTAGTATAGTAGGCAGACTCCCACAGATGGCCTGCCTGGCCTTTGGGACATCTGTGTGTCAGGCCGGCATGGGGCCACTAGAGACTCCTGTTCAGTTTCCTGGCCCCACTTACTGCCCAAACCCAGGCACTGGGGGAGGGTGCGTAGGGTTCTAGATCCCAGCTCTTCTTTTTTTCTCCAGCACCTGGCTCTAGCCCAGCCAGGGTGGTGTTAGAAACAGTGAGGGCCCCTGGGGTCCCCTTTCCCCACCCCCAGGCAATCCCACATTGCTTCCTTAATATCCTGAAGCCTAGGCTCAGCCTCCTCCAGCCCCAGCCCCATCCTCCAATGGCATCTACTCCTATCCCTGGCCCCCACCCCATTATCTATCCTGTACCCTATTTTTCTGAACCCTCCCAGGGACACTGTATGCAGTGGGAGCCCTGTGGAGCCATGTTGGGGTGGGGAGCTATGAAGGTGGACCATAAGCCACAGGATGGGCCTGAAATGGGGGGTTTTCAGCACAGAGTCCTTCCTGGTGCCTCTCAAGCCCAGTGTGACATTGGTTCTAGGTGCACAGATCCCCGGGACTTCCCCAGTTGACTTCTAGCTTCAGGCACCCATTGGTCCCTCCTGGTGCCCCCTCCTCCGCCCTCCTGGAGGCCTCCATGAGCCTACTGCTCCTGCTCTTTGTCCTCCATCCCCTGGGAGTAGGAGAGAGGAGGCCTGGGTGTGAGCCTGCCTCCACCTCTGCCGACTGTGGGAACCCGAGCCCTTCAGGCCTCAGTTTCCACAGTTATGGTGCGAATTGGCCAGATGGTCCCAGGTTTTCCTTCAGCTCTGATGTCCTGAGGGTCCACACATCCACGCCCTGTTGCCCCCTCCCACTCCTAACAAATATGACCCTGTACCCCAGGCCGTCTTGGCTCTAGGGTCACCCTGTCACATCCTGTCACCCCAAACACATCCCAGTCCTTCAGTCTTGGGCTTGGTGTCAGAGCCGAGTTCCTGCCTCTGCTGGGGGCCGGGTGGAAAGGGGCTCTGACGCTGGGCCCGCCCAGCCCTTGCCCACGCGGGGGCAGGTTGCGCATGCCAGTCCCTCTTGTGCATGGGGCTTCTCAGCCCACTGGTCCCTCTGTGCCCAGGTGGCGACCAGGCTCCACTTCCCTCTGTCATGCATGACGGTGGTGTTTCTACGGTGTCTGGTCCTGTGCCTGTCTCTGAGACAATCTCTGTGTGAAACTTGCCTTAATCTGAAGTAAATTTGGTTCTTTTCGTAAAATAGCTTGTTTTTCTTTCTCCTCTGAAAAACAGAACATGGATTTTGCTATCTGGCAGAATCCAGGTCCTCTTCTCTCTCTTCCTTCAACTCAGTTGTTCAGCAAGGATTTGCTGAGCAGCTGCCCAGCGCCAGGCTCTGTGCTGGGCACTAGAGAGGCTGCTGTGAGCTGAACTCAGTCCCTGTCTCTACACAGGCTTACAACAAACACACAAGAAAGCGAGGGAGAAACCCAGCAATGTATAAACAATAGGCTTAGCACATAATTCCAAGGGACAGTGAGACTGAGACAGAGAAGGGACGATGAGGATCGGGAGTGATGAATGGTATTTTAAGTAAGAGGTCAAGGAGGGCTTCTCTGAGGAAGCCCCAAGGAAATGAGGAACCACCCTGGTATCTGAAGAAACAGGGCCCCAAGGAATGGGAAGAACCCTAAATCAGGGCCCCAAAGTAGCCCCTGAGGTTTGGGGATGTGTGGGGTGTTTGCTCCTGCACGAGGAGGCCGGAGCTGAGAGGAAGGGAAAGTGCGGGTGAAGAAGCCAGAATGCACAGGCCTGCAGAGTCTGTGGTGAGGCCTTTGCTCTCAAGAGGTGAGACATGATCACTTCATTGCATGTGATCACTCATTCACCCATCTTGCATCAAGTATTGACTGAATATTAGGCCAGGCCCCACTCAGGTGTTGGAGACTCACAGGCAGAGTTGTACCCTTAGGGGCATCCCTGCTCTGGGACAAGAAGCAAGGAACTCCTACAATCGTGGGGTACTTATGCCAAGCCAACAGGAGGGGGCCAGGGTCTGGGCACCAAAGGGGGATGGATGACTGGCATGGATGGCTCTCAGGCCATGTACCACTCCCCTAGGGCAATGGGGCCATCACGTCACCCTTGCAGAACAGAGTGACAGGTGGGTAGGTGCATAGAATGTTGTGACTTGTGCCCAAGACCCACTGTTCTTTGGTGCATAAGAAACACCATTTTCCTCTCCTTATCCCTCTTCACATATAATTTCCATGGCCATCAGGGACCAGGATCACAGCAAAAGAGGACTTGTCCCTTTTCTGGGCAAGTTTGTTCTCAGATTAGCCCTCCAGGCAGCCATTCCCAACCCGCACTTCACAAGGAACTCAGAACTAATTATACCAAACTTAGGGACTTGTTTACTTCTTAGGATTTTATAGTAAATTAGAGCTGATTCATGGCTGTCCCTGTAATTAGATGCCCCTCTGACTTGCATTCCGACATGCTTTGAGTGGGAACAGGGTGGAGTTACAGCTCAGGAGAAGGGACGTTCCCATAACCATCAGCCCATTTTACCTCCCCCTGGGCACCGTGGGAAAGTGCTGGGAGGATACACCTGCCTGGCAGAGGCATCAGGGCTCAGAGCTGCTGCCCTGGGATGGGACAGGATACCGAGGGCATCTGTGCCTAACACTATAGCCTTCTCCTGGGTTCTTTCTCAAGATATGTTCCACAGGATGCTGGTTCCCTGGCATGGAGTTTGGGAAACTGCTTGCTGTGAGCCCCTCTCAAAGAGTCTAAATGGCATTTAGGATATTCAAGGCTCTGATAAGTCCTAAAGCAAAGACTCTAGTTTGACTTGGTTCAACCCAATGTTTCCCAAGCTTTTTACCACCGAGTAAGGGTGTGTGTGCATGTGTGAGCATGTGTGTGTAGTGTGTATTTAGCTGGTAACCATGACCAAGCAGACATGCTGTCTTGGGAATTTCAGTAGTGAAGTCTCCCTGGTTTCCAGGCCACAGAAGCCTGAGGCCTGCTCCAAGGAGGCTAGAGGGTGGGGAAAAGGGAGACCTCAAGTTGGGCTCTGGAGAGAAGGAAAAAGCTTTAACAGAGATCCCTGCCCCAGGCACCTCAGGAGACACACCGCAGGGATGAAAAGAGGGTATTCTGACATAGCTTCGTGATTCCGTGGTTGAATTTTTTAAAATCTTTTACTTTGGGGGCCGAGGGGTATGTGACACAGAGCTGGAGGGAGTGGGCAGAAGAGGGAGAGGCAGCTGAAAGGCACTCCTAGACTCTGGGTGAGGACCCAGACTACAGTTGTCTCCCCTCCCCCAACTCTGGCCTTCAGGATTAGGTACCTCAGGCTGCCAACCCCCAGATCATTCCTCTGCCTACTTCTGTGCCTTTGGAAGCCCTCTGCCATCCTCTTGTCTACTCCTCTCAGATGCCCCTGAATTAATAAAAATGGTAAAAATGGTGATGACCAACATGCACACAGACTTAGTAAGCACCAGACACTCTGCTCAGCACCCTGAACGTGTTTAGTGACTTTATCTTCCTAAGATCCCTGTGAAGACGGTGCTTACAATCATTGTCCCATTTTCCAGATGAAAAAAACCCAAGGCATGGAGAGGTTAAGGGCCTTGCTCAAGATTACACAACTAGAAAGTAAGGGAGCTTGTAGGTATCTGAGCCCAAGGTGGAGTGGGAGGGACCTGGTTGTCTGAAGACATGAGCTCTAGCTAAGCCATGTAATTGCTGTATGACCTTTGTTGGGCCATCTTCCCTCTGTGGTTCTCAGTGTCCCCACTGGTAAAGTAGGAGTGGGCTCTAAGGTCATGGAAGGTCTTTCCATCTCCCTGCAATCTCAGTCCTTCCATCACCCTGTTGTCTCAGACCCCCGTCAGGCCCATGGGCCACTGGGTGCCCTCTCTTGGCCAGGCGGGACACTGTCCATCACTGTAGCAGCCCCTCCCACACCTCTGGGATGCCTGGCTGACAGTAGCCTATGGAAGAGGTTCCTGAGTCCTGCCCGGAAGGGGCGGGAGAGGTAGAAGCAGAGTAGGGGGCTGACAGCACAATTGGAGTAGGCGAGGATGGTGCAGAGGCTGGAGGCCACAAAAGCCTCTGGTGTGGCAGGCAGATAGCCCATGGCTGCTACATAGCCCAGCACAGAGCAGGGTCCCCACATCAGCATGAAAACCACCAGCACCACAAGGATGAGCCTTGTGTTCTCTTGGTGCTCCTGGATGCTCTCCCCCGTGGGACCTTGGGGCCGCGCCCACAGAAGCCAGTGCACATGGCAGAAAGAGCAGCCCAGCCCCAACAGGCAAGGCAGGAAGGCCAGGGCTCCTAGCAGGGTGAAGTAGCAGGAGGTCTGAGCGGGACTCAGAAGCAAGAGGCAGGCTTGGGTCTCAAGGGCCCCTGCTGTCTCCTCTTCCACTGCCACTCTCTGGAATAGCCAGTTAGGCAGGGACACGGTAAGGCCCAGGACCCACATGGCCCCACAGAGCAGTAAGCGGATACTCTGGCTAGCTGGTAAGGCCACATCAGGCCAGGCCACAGCCACATGGCGCAGAAGAGCTGTGGCCACCATACTGTAGAAGGTGCAGAACATGGTGCCTGTGTTGGTGGCCTGGCTGATGGTGCACACGGCAGGGCCCAACCACCAGTCATGTTGCAGGAAGCTCAGCAACAGCACAGGCACCACGCAGGCCAGGAAGAGCAGGTCAGATAGTGTGATGTTCACCATGAGGCTGTTGGTCAGGGCAAGAAGGGGGCGGTGGGCACTTGGGCCCTGGCCCACCACCAGCAGCATGAGCCCGTTGACCATCAGCCCCACCAGCAGGATGAGGCCGCAGACCCCAGCGAAGATGAGTCGGAGCAATCGCTCAGGCGTGGCTGTGAGCCAGGGAGTGGATGTGGCATTGGGCTCCATTTTCCTGTTTCAGACATATAAGAACAGTGTAGGAAATAGCCCAAAGTCTACCTCCCCAGTTCCTGTGGAGCCGCCTCCTTTCACAGTCCTCAGCATACAGTGGGCCCCTCCAGACCTCACAGCAAACTGATAGGATGGGTTCCATCAGTGCCCTTGGTTCAAATCCTGACTCTGCTACTTGGTAGCTCTGGGACAGTGGGAGAGTAACTTCATGTTTCTCTACCTCGTTCTTCTTTATAATTTATTTCTAAAAATTCTGCAGGAAGTCTAAATTGCTTTTATAATCTGATAAAGATTATATACATAGGCTTGGCGCCTGTGGCTCAGGTGGCTAAGGCGCCAGCCACATACACCTAAGTTGGCGGGTTCGAATCCCCAGCCCGGGCCGCCAAACAACAATGACAGCTGCAACCAAAAAATAGCCGGGCGTTGTGGCGGGTGCCTGTGGTCCCAG